GAAAGATCAATAAAATATTTAAGTTTATTAAAGCGATTGAATTAATCATTTTTCCAAAAATAAAATCGATTTAATGCTAGTGCTCATTTTCATTTCCTTAATCGAAATAATAAATAATAAAATGATTGCTGAGTTCGTCTTTTTATTATCAAAACTTTTTCCTTACTTTAGTCGCCATAAGATGGATGACATTTTCATTTATTGTCTATGCATTTGGTAAATAAAAATTTATTTATAAAGAACGGATTCTTTAAAGGCTGCTGAATAACTGAGATGGTATGCTCAACTGTATTGAAAAATATATCGCACTTGAGATTTGAACCTGAAACCCTAATTTAGTCGCGATCCTTTTACTTACTCGACTACTCATGTGGATGCTAAGTAAAATAGTTTAACTAACTGCTACCTTAGTAAGCTGAAGATGCATATAATACAATGTGCGATGTTGCCCATAAACATTTAAGGAATTTTCAATAAGAAGCAGAACACTTTACGATACTTTAATATGTACGGACAATGCTTCAAAACGGTTAGCAATTAAGTTCAACGTCAAATTAACAGCTGCATTCCGGAGCTACAATCGGTCGGTCAAAAGAATGTGGTTTCTTGTCAAAGCTTTTGCATATTTGATATTCCGTAACTCCTCAACACTAATATTGTTATAAAACAAGAGTGTGGCTGTGTCGCGAAACTATAAAGCATTCTAATTATACTTTTGCTTCGACCATAAGCACTAACTGAAAGTCTTCATTAATTGACTTTGATAATTGTATATTAAATAATTAATTCAACGCATGTGACATGCATGTGATGCACTTGCATATATCTTTTAATTAAACGAAATACGTAATTTTTTTAGGAAACTTAGTAGCACCGTTCCATGTGCAATCGTAAACAATCAGCCATTGTCGAGTACACAAACAGCAAAGCAAACTTTCTCATAAATATAAAAAGCACAAAAAAATTTAAATATTCTAAAAATAAAAATGAATTTTAATGGTTTTCAAGATTTTCGCAAAACATCTTTGGATTTTATTATTAGATATTTAATAAACAAAAAGAAGTTTCTTAAACTATATTTAGATTTAGTAATAAGTGACGAAGAGTTAAAAAGAATTGGTATCGATGAGATAAATCAAAAAGTCAAATAAGAAAGCGATAATATAGCGTTGTATGTCAACAAGCAGCTGAAGTCTCGCAGCAGTTTTCATCAATTGCTCTGATCGAAGTTCTACCAAACTTTGTATTGTTATCTGCCATAGATAGTAAGTTGCATACATGGTTTGCTGTTAAGAAAGGATTTTGGGTAAATCACATCAATTTTCTTCTCTGATCTGTGACCATACATTAAGAACATACGTTCTCTTGGATAAATGCTTTATCTGCCATAGATAGTAAATTTCATACATGGTTTGCTGTTAAGAAAGGATTTTGGGTAAATCACATCAATTTTCTTCTCTGATCTGTGACCATACATTAAGAACATACGTATTAAGTAATGAACAGAAACCGAAAAATCATATTCTCATTATCATATTCTATCACTTAAAGTATAAATGATCGCTAACTTAACGGAACAATCAATATAACTAACATGAACATGAAGGACTTTTCGTAGCGACAGCGGAAGAATGCGGATGTCCTGGATTAGTTCTTCTTTTTGCCACAGCCAGATTCACTTTTGATTAGGGAAAGATTCTGATCCAATTTAACCGCGTCCGTCCGTCTCGCTCCGTCTCCTCCCATCTCGCTGTTATCTCACGATTGCTAAACTTGAAATAAAAGAACCAGACTTCTATAAGGGCCATAGAGTGATTAAGTTTGGTTAGCGTAAGCATACGCATAGAATAACTTACTTACTTCTCAACAGTTATCGACCTGAAACTTGATGCAAACATTCATTAGAAACTAATGCCAATACTTCAATGAAAATGTACAATTTTATTACCTGGTTTCCTTCAAGATATTTAGGGATATTTACAAATTTTGTACAGATTTTCATCTATTTTGCTCTACCTTAACTGTTTTGAAGACATGAAGCAGATCACTTAAAAATAGGAAATATAATCTATAGTCCGTCTATGGAAACATCTATCTCCCTGCCATCATTGTCAACATAGGCGCGATCGTAAATATTCAGGTAAGATGCTGCTTTCATAGTCTTGGTAAATGATCATAGATCAACTTCGACATGAGTAGTGATCTGTTTTTAATGATCTACATTTAGTAAAAAAATGCAACGTGCAAGCTATAGGAAATATAGATATAACCTTGGTAAGGCCAGCGATATCAAGTAAACTTGATCGTGATTTGCATATGTTACACGAAAGCAATTGTACGATAGAAGGATTTTTCCGTACTTTATCGATAGTTATAAACTCTCTACTAGTTCCAGCGACCCCAACCAACGAGTTCACTCGATATCGAAAAGCATACATTGGTCCTTTCAATGTCCACTTTGCACTTTTTTTTCTTTTTTTTTTTTGATATGACCAATCACTTAGGAGATGTTGGTGACGGACAACAAAGACGACAGCAAAGAGATAGAGATTGGATGTGCCCAATTGCTGAGTGGTTTATGAGGTCACAGCCCAACTGCTTTGCTTGGAATTTGGATCCGCCAATACTGACTTGATAGTCGGCTACTCAGGCGGACTATTGAAGATCAGTGGTAGATCCGTTCTAAGTAGGATGTAACTTTCTTACTTGGCTAAATTTTATTTACTTTTTTTTTTTTTTTTTTTTTTTGTTTTTGCTTTGTCCTATTTAGCTTGCTTATCTTATCTTAATTGTAACTTATGTTATTTTGCATTTATTGAGATTCTCTTAAAATCATGCCCGAACAGGACGAACCTTTTTGTAGAGGATATAGTAAACGATTGAGAAACATTGCGCGTTGCTTCATTTAATTCATTAACTGAAATCCTCGTATTTTTATTAACCATTTTACTTTTCATGGCCTGGTTTGCCTCCATTACTGGTAAATTATTAAATGCCGTGATATCTGTAACGTGGGCTTGCTTGCTTCAATTGGGTAAATCACATATTTTAATAAACAATAAATAAAATCTTTGTTATTAACCTTGTTATTAACTTACAACGGGCGCACATATACGCGCCCATACGCGCAAATACATTCACGTACGTCCAGTATTACACAATCGCATATATGCATATATCCGTTACTCTCTCTTTGTCTCACAATAAGGTAAAAATAAAGTTTAGTTGATTATGTAGTAGAAATTAAGAAAACAATAACAAAATTTACTATAAAAACCTGTAAACAAAGTAAAAACATTGATAGTTGCACGCGCAAACGTTCAGAAGACGTTTTGTAAATGAAATTCGGTCCTCAAGTTGTGTTCTGCGAATAATCTCAACAAAATTAATTTCTTTCTATCGCATCGAAAGCGTGAAAAACGTGTGAAAAATCATATTTCTTTTTTTTTATTTCTTTCGCCTCTTACATATATACATATAAAAATATTTATATATATAAAAAATGGATAACGCAACGTTTAGAGATTTCGGTAAAGCTGCCATAGATTTCGTAGCCGATTATATGGAAAATATTCGAGAATGGTATTGCAAGTTGTGTGTTGTTCATGTTATCATAATTGTTAAAATGAAAATATTTATCATTTAGTGATGTATTGCCGTCAGTGAAGCCAGGATATCTTTTCGATTTGTTGCCGAATGAATTGCCCGAGAAACCTGAGAATTGGCAAGACATACTCAAAGATATCAATCGAGTTATTAAGCCAGGCATTACGCATTGGCAGTCGCCAAATATGCATGCTTACTATCCCACTGCATGTTCATTTCCTTCAATTGTCGGCGACATGATATCGAGCGGTTTTAGTGTTATAGGTTTCAGTTGGGTATGTGAATGATTTTAATGCTCAGTTATGTAATATTCTTATAAAAACTATTAATCCGAATAGAGGCTAAAGGGAAAATCATCACATTTACAGCATTTGTCATATTCGAGGCATGCAGCAAAATATTGAGTGTTTTTTTTTTTTTTTTTTCGAAAAGAAAATCAATTAAGGAAACGATTTTTCGGATGAAAAGAAATGCATGGAAAAAAATGCTTGCATGATGAAATTATATTTGGCATACGTAGAGTTCTCTGATGGCTATCTTTAGGGTACTCGTATATGACATTTAACTATGATGTATAGGTTAGAGATACTCAAACTTATTATTTATACCATCATCTAGTGGCATCTTTTGCCCAGTCGGACATTGTACTTAATCCGCTCGATAAAAGAATGGAGAATTTTCATAATTAAGGCGGAGTCTTCAATCCGAACTTTTTTTCTAAATTATTGCGACCAAAGTTGTTCTCCTAAGTTTTGTGCCAAAGCTGTTCTTCTAGAAAAAGTCCTAGTTTCGTTAGACAGACATGGATAAATTAATCCGAGATATCGCGCACAGGACTTTTTAATTGCTATAGACATTTCTAAAACCTAAAACACTCACAACGGTGGGTGTAATTAAATTGAAAGGACATATAAATTTACTGCCATGTGCCTTGTTCATCTAAGCAACATTGTACACAATTTTTAAAAACTCACTTTATTAAGCTAGTATTCCCTTCTAAAGTAAAACACAAATGCTTTGGAAACATGCTAGTAAAAGATATTTTTTTATATCATATTCCAATTCACTTTACATTCACCAGTGCAGACTAGGGATAAGATCTTAGTGTTAAATTATTTGTAATTATAGCAACACCTATACATAGACGTTGAATAGACATTAGTGACTCATTCCATAAAACTTATAAACGTATTCGCTTAAGAAGGGAAGCCCACTTATCTGATTACTATCACTTTAAAAAAATTGTTAATTATCCAAGCATTGCCATACTGAATTTATTATAGGTGATAGAAAAACCTTGATTTGTAAAAGATTGAAACCTTTTTGTGACAACTGAATTTCATTCACCTATTCTTTGTTTTTTTATTTTTCCTTTATGCCCTACATCGCTTCTTATGCATCCCATACCCACGTTTTCTTTTATTGTACCGACCGATTCAGAATCGCTTTCTGAATTGATGCTAGTCTTACGTCAGGCCTTCTGGCGACGGCTCATGTATTTTTCTATTTACACTAGCAGTCAGCAATGACTGGGCTTTTCTTCGTTTACAAATCATTTCGCGTACTCCACGAGAAGTACGTGCAAGAGTGTATTAAGTTTTTACCGATGCATGTAACACACAGAAGGACTTGAGATAAGCCCACGTTTTATTATACCGATGGATTCAGAATCACTGTACGAATAAATCTAAACTTGTCTGTCCGTCAGTCAGTCGCAATTTTTAAAATGTTTTGATGAGCCTTGCTGCACCGACTTGCTTTGGCCCAATGACGTAGGCTATTGAAAATGTTTCGGGTCGGACCGCATTTTCGACCACTACCCATATCATAGCCTGTCTCGAAAAGTCGTCATATGAATAACTGCATTAAGCGATGTTATGTAAGCTATTGAATGGCCGACTATAATGGTTTTAATTCTTGCTTTCTATAAAAGTGGAATTTTGTAAGACACACTCTCGTTTGCGACGTTTCAAAAGAAAGTTTAATCGGCCGGTCGGTTTTTACACCGCGCTTGATGAATTCGGCTTACAGCTCTTCTTAGTTATCGTATTGATTTGACTCTGTTACAATAACTTTCTCTGTTGATATTAAACGAGTTTTTAGGTTCTTTGTTTACGATGTCATTAATCAACATTCCACCCAAGCATGTGAAAAACATGCTTCATTGTTTTTTAACGATCAAACCGATATATGTATTTTTAGTTTTTTTTTTTTTTTTTTTTTTTTTTTTTTTTTGCCGGTAACCTAATTTTAGATTAAGTTATAAGCATCTCTTCAATAAAGTGTACAATATGTTTATCTCTAAATATTTCTTTTCACATATCTAAGTATTCCTATCGTTGTTCTCTTTATCAGTAAACTAAAGCGAAGAGAAGTTTCTTATGCTTTAGTTTAAAGTTTAAAATTTATCCATTGTCTGCAAAATATCAATTCCTTAACATTAATTCGATTATAGATATGCAGTCCTGCTTGTACCGAATTGGAAGTGATCGTTATGGATTGGTTGGCTAAATTTTTGAAATTGCCTCAACATTTCTTGCACTCTTCTGAGGGTCCCGGTGGGGGTATCATACAAGGTACCGCCTCTGAGGCTGTGTTGGTGGCGATGTTATCTGCAAGGGAACAAACTGTCCGTAGAATGAAGCAAACGCATCCGGAGCTAAGTGAAAGTGATATACGCGGCAAATTGGTGGCTTATTCAAGTGATCAAAGCAATAGTTGCATTGAAAGAGACGCTTTATTAGCGGCCGTACCCATAAGATTGCTAACCACCGATGACGATTTAGTTTTAACTGGCGATATACTAGAGCAGGCCATTAACGAAGATATAGCTAAAGGCTTTATTCCAATTATATGCATTGCAACAGTGGGCACGACCGGCACTTGTGCCTTTGATGATTTGCCATCCTTAGGCAAAGTATGTAATGAGCGAGGCATTTGGTTGCATGTAGACGCAGCTTATGCTGGGGCCGCTTTAGCCCTAGAGGAATACAAAGAACTGAGAAATGGTTTCGAATTGGTTGATTCACTCAATTTTAATTTACATAAATTCTTGCTGGTCCATTTTGATTGTTCCGCTATGTGGCTTAAGGACGCTAACAAGGTCGTGGATAGCTTTAATGTTGATCGCATCTATTTAAAACATAAATTTGAGGGTCAAACACAAATACCGGATTTCCGACATTGGCAAATACCCTTAGGTAGACGTTTTCGCGCTTTAAAGGTATGGATTACACTCCGAACTTATGGAGCGGAAGGCTTAAAAGCACATATACGCAAACATATTACTTTAGCGGAAAGATTTGAAAAATATGTTTTAGCTGATCCACGTTTTGAGTTGATTACCGAAAGAACATTAGGCTTGGTGTGCTTCCGTCCCAAAGGTGGTAATAAATATACAACGGATTTATTAAACTCTTTGGTAGAACGCAAGAAAATCTATTTGATACAAGCTACATATCGAGACAAGAATTTCTTACGTTTCGTTGTGTGTGGCATGGATCCCAAGCCGGAAGACATAGATTTTGCCTGGAGAGAAATCAGAGATCAATACAGCATGTTAATTAATGAGGAGAAATTATTAACTTTAGGAAAAACTGATATGGGCGCTATTGTAAAACAATTATCAACGGATATTAAAATATCTGCAAATAAAGATAAGGAGAAAGTCAAATAAAGAAAGACCATAAATTGAAAATGTTATGTAATTTCTTTTTTTTTAATCTATAGATTCTCTTTATCTCTCTCTCTCTCTCTCTCTCTCTCTCTCTCTATTTCTCTCTTTGTTTAAATTCAATTTGATTATTTTTTTTTCCAAAATATATGTAATGTAAAAATATATGTAATATCAGATCCATCTAGTAAGTAAAAGCTTCGACTGATGTTTTTGCTTGAATTGTTAAATCCCACAAATAACGCACCACAATGAGTTAATTAAATGGCTGTGGGTAACTCTAAGCATCTGTAAAGAATATTGTATAAAAACAAAAGCAAAATTTGACAATAAATAATAATAATATAAGAAGAATGATAAACTGCTTAAATTTATTTCATTTAAAAAAAATTATTAATTGTTGAAAGCTGTAACGGAAGTTGAAAATTGTCAAAATTCTTAGTTTTAAGTTATAGCTATTAGCCACAAAAACCTGCCATGCAATGGTAAGTCCATAATTGTTAAATACATAACAAGTCTCAAGATTCAGGGTCAAGGTTAATATTTAACTCTTAGAGGAAATTCCGGAAGTTCCATTTAAATCAGTTTGCGCATTGCTGAGGGTTGCATTTTAATAGATTATGAAATTTTAGATTTAAAAATTAGCTAAAACCTATTATTATTATTTATATTTAACATAAACCATTTGCAGGCAAGAGTTAGTGCTTCCAATCGGAAGCAAATTTTTAAAATTGTTGTGCACAGCGAACCTTACCGTTCTAACTTTTTCGATGCTACACTATCGCAAACACAGATCAAAAAAAAAAAGAGGATAAACTTCTTAGTACGTAGATACGCATTTTTGGTCAGATTATTGAAAAGGTACAAAAATAAAGCATACTTTTGAGCAAAAACATAAATAGAGGACGAACATCTAAGAAAAAATCATTTAAAGATTGAAGTTGCATAATAATATACTGTGTCGTCAAGGATGAAATTTGTAGATAACTAAGATAAGTGCAATGTTGTTCCACTCTTCCCGTAAACGCCAAGAAAAAATTTTATGCATACACAAAGTGATAGCTAAAGTTTATACAGTTGATGTCATCTCTTATATTGTCGGTAAAAGCTGATTTTCCAAAATCAATAATTCCGTTAATACTTTCGTTTAGACTTATATGCAAATAATTAATGCTATTAATTTTCCTTTAGCTTCAAACGTGTCCAATACAAACTCATTAACGCAAAGGTAATCAGCACCGAAATTCCAAATGTTGCTGATGCGCAATGCAAATCATGTAAGGAGATTCAGACCGTTATAATTGGGGCAGGATTGGCAGGTTTGTCCGCGGCAAATCATCTCATCAAAAACGGCTACCCACGCACCTTTATACTCGAAGCGACCAATCGATACGGCGGCCGTGTTAATTCTAAACAATTTGGGGATGCATTTTGTGAGCTGGGCGCAAAGTGGATAACTATTGATGGTTCAAAAAATTCCATGTATGAACTTTTACGGTTAGTATTACAGTATCTAATATTTGGAAAATCTAACTACAGCTTTTGGACATTTTCCTAGGCAAGCTACTAGTTTGCAGAAAAGTATACAGCAAAAACAAGATGCAGAGTACAGAGATACACTGGGACAAACAATTAATAAGTACCTGCCTGAAGTAGTAAATGTTTACTTCCGGAAATTATGTGCCGGGATCGATTTAACTGATCGAATTAAAAATGGCCGTTTGTACGAGTTGAACAATGTTCATACATATTTTCAATCGGAAGCGGAAAAAATCGTCAACAGTATGTTTAAAGAGAGGGATCGTAGCGTAGTTGTTGATATATTCATAACACTAATGAAAGAATACGGCGGAAGCTTGGGCTGTAATTTGGAATATTTGAATGTTGAGCAATTGCTCAAATTTAAAAATCAATTCGCATATCCGATTTACGTACCTAATGGTTTGAATAACATTTTTCAGGAGATAATCGCAAACATAGAGAAAGATCATTTGCAAACTGGTAAACCAGTAGGAGAGATCAGATGGAGTGATCTGGACCGAGAAGATAAAAAGTATGTAAACTGTTTAGACGGCACCGTATTTCCCGCAGATCATATTATCTGCACTTTGCCGTTAGGCGTTTTGAAAACTTTCTCTGGACATATGTTTAAACCGCCTCTACCGCCAGAAAAAACAATAGCTATAAAAAATATTGGATTTGGTTCGCCAGTAAAAATATATTTTGAGTACAAAAAACTAGTCAAACATTGGTTTAAAAATAATTTACGGCCCTTATGGTCGGCTAAAGAGAGAAATGCCGATTTAAATTGGATTAAGCAAATTGTGGAAGTATCTAAACTTCCAACTAGCAATCGCGTATTGGAAATTTCCATAGGTGGCGCTTACTACGATGAAATTGAAAAGTTGCCCGATTCCGAACTAATAACTGAAGTAACGAAACTATTACGCAAGTGCTTGAACAATCCCCAAATACCTTTCCCTAAAGAGATACTAAGATCGAATTGGAGCACAAGTGCTTGCTATTTAGGTGGGCGTCCTTACTTCTCAACTAACAGCAGCGTAAACGATGTTAATACTTTGGCCAGACCGCTTGGGTACAAAACTAGCCTACTCTTCGCAGGTGATGCTACCATTTTGCAAGGTTTTGGAACTTTGGACGGAGCACGTTTGAGTGGCATTCGGGAGGCACAACGTATTATTGAATATTATGGTAAAAATTAAACGAACCGGTAAATTTGTGAATATACATTTTTAAGCATTTTTTATCTAAACCCTATTCTCATCCACGCATACATATTTCTCGATGAAAATAATAATTTTGGTTAACAAATACAGATTAATGATAATAGCGCTGCTAAAGATGATAGCGTGTTTATTTCTGCAATATCAGCAAATCTTACAACTACAGGATAAGTACATTGATTAAACAGTTTTTTGCTTTTACTTAACTTAAGAGTAGCAACATGTATTGTATAGTTTAATATTTAAATAATTTATAGCATTTTTATTAAGAAAAACGCTCGTCAAAAATTCCCTAAACAGTTTGGAGCTTATATTCGTTTATGGTCCCAGATTTTTATACGGATATAGTATCACATCGAATTTTTATTTTTTTTTTTTATTTAATGCTTTAAAACTTCGTCGGCTGTACGGCTAACTTCCTTCCAGGTATATTCAATATCTTCCGGTTTGGTGAAGCGTGAGCAGATAGCCATTCTTAAAAAGTAAACATCGCGTATTTTAGCGGGAACCATGTGTATATTGCCGCGACCATTAATACGTTTTAAAAGAGTCTCATTCAACTCATTGCTGCCTTTCAAACGGAAGCAAACCAAACCCATATTCACTTGCCCGACAATTTCGAAACGTTTATCAGTTAGGCATAGTTTTTCAAATTGCTTAGCAAAATTGCAATGACGTCTTATATGAGCCTGAAGATTTTCTATACCATATAAACGTAAAACAAACCACAATTTCAAAGCACGAAAGCGGCGACCCAAAGGTATTTGCCAATGTCGGTAATCGGGAGCGGAACCTTGCATGTCATGTTTTAAATACAACGGATCCACGTTGAAGGCATTCACAACCCAACTTGGGTCTTTCAGCCACATAGCACTACAGTCGAAGTTCACTAACATCCATTTATGAGGATTGAAATTAAAAGATTCAGCTGTCTCAACGCCCTTCATTAAGTGCCTATATTCCGGGCAAATAAAAGCGGAACCAGCGTAAGCAGCATCAACGTGAACCCAAACATTGTATTTATTGCCAACTGTGCCGCACTCCTCCAAACAATCGAAAGCACACGAATTCGTAGTACCCAAAGTAACCACGGCCTGAAAAACATTGATTAGTAGAAAAAAAAAGAAGAAGATTTTTTCTATTTTCTATTCTCACTTACATAGAATGGTATAAGTCCATCAGCTAAATCCTTTTTAATGGCTTCTTCTAAAGCATCTCCTCTTAAACGGTTATTTTCATCAGCCGGCACTAAACGCAATTTAACGCCACCCAATAACCCGGCACGTTCTACAGAGGAGTGGGCTTGAGCTGAACAATAGCCGACGAGTTTAGAAACTATTATATGATCTTCCCAATCTGGATGTTCTTTTTTCACCTGTTGTATCTTCTTAGCTTTCGCCCCCAGTAATGCAACTAATGTAGCCTCACTAGCAGTTCCTTGTATAACACCGCCACCCTTTCCTCCCGAGCAAGCTAAAAAGTCGGCAGGTAAATCCAACATTTTACCTAACCAGTCCAACATCACAACTTCCAGTTCAGTGCAAGCAGGGCTAGCAATCTTTTTATGCAAAAAAAGGAAACAAAAAAAAACGCAAGTAATTGTAGACACATAGCAATACAGACGTTATTTTTGTCTTAATTAAAATTTTCTAATATGTATCAATACTTTTTGTTGAAGGGAGCTAATATATATATATATACATATGTGCGTGTATTTGATTTGATCCTAGAAGGGAAATCCTTCGATAAAGTTTACGATATAAGAGAATTGTATTATGGTATCGTCTAAAGTACAACAATAGTTATAAGCGAAACCTTAATTCACACGATTTTCGATATTCTGATAAAGAAGTACCGTGTTCAAAGATCACGTTTACCACGTTAAGAAAATATAAGTTCGTCACTAAAAAAGAGCCCGGTAGGTGGATATATTTACAGACCGATTTTACTGATTTTTGAACTTGAGTACTTTTAAGCACTTTTGGACAAAGACTTCCAGATTAGTGGACTCCGAAAATGTATATGTTTTATAAGATCTCCTTCAACCCATTGCATAATACCCTTTTACCTCTATTGAAGGCAAAAAAAAAAAATAAATAAAGAACAAAAGAGTATAACAAAATTAATATCAAAAATATCAAAGGAAAGAAAACTTACCCATGTGAAGCCTATGCAAGCGATAGCACCGCTTAACATATCAGCCACAATCGCCGGATAGGAGTTAGCTGTGGGAAAATAGGCATGAAATTTTGGGCTGTGCCAATGTGTAACACCGGGCATTATAACTCTTTCAATATCTTTCATAACATCTTCCCAACAGTCTGGCTTCACTGGAGCCGTATCAGGTAACAAAGGTCTTAGATAACCAGGCTTAACATCAGGTAACACCCGACTGTAAAAAGAAGAAAAAATGTTATTAGTCTAGATACGAAACCGCGTCTCAAAGCTTCAAGTTTTTAAACGAGGCTTGAATTCAAGTAGAAAGCTCCATACTATGTTTCATTTGCCCGGGATCTAAATTGAATACAAAATAGAATGAAACAAGCGAAACGTGATGCACCATTAAATACCCAACATCACTTCGTTTAATATAGTTATTCATATAATGATTTTTCCTGCCTTATATAGAGAGTGGTCAAAAAAGGTGACCGGACCGAACTAATTTTAATAGCGTTCGTCCGTGAGCCAAAAACACGTCGGTGTACCAAATTTTTTCAAAATATTTCAAAAATTCTGACTTATACTTTGAACATAGGGAAACCCGTCAGACGGACAGACAAGATAAGGCAAAAGTGCGGCCACTCGTGACTTTGTTAGGTGTTTTGACCTCCTAGTCATTAAAGACCCTTTCGAATTGGGGTTTAAAATGAAGAGTAGGGTTTGTTATGAAGAAAAGGCGACCATTTTCTTTAAATTAATCGTTTAGCTGTTAAAATATGTACGATTTTAAGGCGGTATATTTTATAGGTCATAAGTTATCAGTAACGATAGTTTGATAGCTTTGTACCTTTTTCGGTGATTTATAGATATTCGTACAGCAAAATTTTATTAACATTAAAACTTCATGAGCGGAATTTAAACAAAAATACATTTTGCATGGTCTTGTTAGATTTTTACAATGTCGAAAATTCCAATAAGAACAACAACAAATACGGCTAAATGCTGAAATTGCTTCTTCTTCTCTTGCTAATCAACAAGTAAACAACAAGGGTGCAATCATTTAGCCGAAAGTTAACTTTCGCTCTTCTATTTAACAGTTTTTGTCAAACAGCTGACTGCACAGAGAAGGTAAATTTTTCGTATGTGAAATTTATTGCCTTCACAAAGGGAATGGAAAAATGAGTTAATATCCATTAGAAGCATACCGTTGGTGCGATCAACGCTTAGAGGTGCTAGAAGAAATTCGATTGTTTAAAGTTTCACTTGACCTTGTTTGGGGTTGCATTTGAACAAATTAAAATGTGCACTGTTTATGAAAATTAAAAGTTAGTTCGAAATTCTGATAATCATTCAAGCAAAAAAAAAAAAAGCATAACTGCTAATATTTACTTGATGTGGTAAATTGAACAATGATTAAGTAAAATAATAAAGCATTTTTAACGTTCATTTAGAGAATGTTTTCAATTTCGTGCTTTGTGAATGCCCTTTAAATAATGTGTTTTCAAAATACAATTCAAATTCGTTTACAATTTCAAGAACATCCAGTTTTATTTAGTTATTTCTAATTTTTTTTTTGCATACGGGCAAGGAAGCAGTTTTTTTTTTTTTTTTTTTTTTTTTTTTAAAATTTTTTTGTGTTATATTGTTGATTTGTTCACATTGTTGATACTTTTAAAAACGAGTTGAATTAACCACACGCGTTTTTTTTCCTAAATTTAAATAAAATGTCATTAAATTCATTAAAAAAGTTCATAAACTTTTTATTATAAAGATTTACAGATAAATCACTTACCGATCTCTTATATTTTCCAAGTAATCAGCTATATAATCAACCATAGATTTGGCGAAATCGCGAAATTCTGGAGCTTCCATATCGATCTGTAATTGGCAAACAAATTTTTACTATTATCTTATCATAAATATGATATGAAATCAATTATCGTTTTATGAAATTTTTAAATATATAAATTATCCATTTAATTGCCTGTGCATAAGCATAGTCTCACTCTTTCTCTATAGAGTCTATAGAGTGCGGACTTCTGCTTACGCGAATTCAATTGCTTAAGCAGAGATTTAAATTCACGGTTAATACGAACATGTCCACTCACCGATGTATTTGGATCTAATTTATCCACATTAATCTTCAAAGTGTTCTTTGAATTTCCATCACCCATTGCGCCAACAATCAGTTCGCTAGTATTTAAGATAAGCACAAGAGTTTCCCAACACCGTTAATATTAAAAGCCAAATGTTGTTAGTAAAAAGCAAGCTTAGTTGTTAGTTAGAATTTATTTTATAGTAAACATTCAAAGATTTAAAAAGTTTTATATACATAAAATAATACATGAAATATTAGGAGAGGCTGTCCTGTGGTGTCTTAAAAGAAGGAAAACAGATAGAGGTATTATAGGCGAGCAAGGCCAACCGTTAAATACCATATACCTGTTCATCTAACACAACAATTCAATGTAAAAGTGCGCTATTCCTGAAAGCCCTTACATCGGGGAATACCCAGAACGTGGTCTCTAATTTAATTTTTTCATTCTTTACTTTTCTTCTTAAAGATTTGATTCTTCTTCTCCTATTTTGATCATAAAACTTGCAAACTAGACTTTGTCGCCTTGTAAAGGCTAGCTTTTCATAAGAACCCTTTTTTTATTTGATGAGATGTAAAAAATAGACTTATGTGGTCCAAATTTGCTACAGTTAATTTTTATGTCAAATTGCCATTATGTCAATTTTCAATTCTCAACATAAAATATTAAAAAATTAGTTCTCTTTGCCATATAATGGCTTACCATTCACGACAACTCTCATATGGAACACGATGCAACAAAGGAAGGAAGGAAGGAAGTTTTGATGCAATTCATTATTACGTTAAATTAATATTTGAATTTATTCAAAGCGTAAAACATCATTCTCCACCACTGCACCACTTATCATTTTATAGAATTTGTCAGGATATGACGAGAACCGTACGTTTGGTCAAGCTGTGGGTTGAATTGGTTCTTGTTGTTGAAACACTTTTAATCTACTTGTTTTATTTATATGTGGTATAGCTTCAACGTCGACGTTTTCCCTATTAGTTTGAATTTTCGATTTGTCTTTCTCGGCGCTTTACATTACCTTACATTTTTAATAGGTACCATAGGGACGAGGTTAATACTTTTCTATATCAAAAATTATGCGTTCATCTCACACAACCTCTTTCAACTCATGTAAATGTACACTTGTTCTTCGGAAGCTGACTAAAGTTATTTTCAAAATTGGTGTTTACAATACTAAACATATATATATGAAGATATATACAATGACTGAATTCTATGCATATATTGGTTCTTGTAGATTTTGCAAATAATATGAGAGATTGTGTAGATCAATAACCAAAGCATTCCCGAAATCTATCAGGATATTCGGCTGTAGTCATATAGAAGGGCATACGTCTTGGGGAAGTAATTGAATCCTTACACGCAAGGACAATGGCAAAATGATTTTCTATAAGCTCGCTCGTGGCAGAACAGAGACAACAACTAAGAAACTTTTATACCCGCCATCTTTGTCATTAAAAATTTGAATGAAACGGAAAAAATTAAATTTCCATAGTCGCTTTTTGCAATTTTCTGCTTTCTGGTAATGTAAGATCGCCCATAGAATTTACGTGAAGACGTTGTTTATTGCATCTGAAAAAGCCGAATTATTTTGCTTTGAAAAACAGACGTGGCCTTAGTTTATGTGGTACTATAGGTCTGTCCTTTTATCGGTTTGGTTCAATTTCAACAGCAATTTTCTTGCACGAACTTCCGATGTTTTCAGCAAATTTAAAATCGATATTGTATTTTTTGCTTCACCGAAAATGTTTAGCGAGCATATATATCTGGTTGGACACACAGACAAGCGTAGGTAGAAAACGTTTTGAAAAACTAAACATACGCTTACAGATATCAATGATGCCATCCTTTCAATCTATTGAATATTATATTCATTAAATCCAAAACGGATCTTGTATTCACGCATAGTCCCCGTAGCATCTTCATATATAATAATAAATAATAATACAGTGTGTAAGAAAAAAAAAAAGCGTTGCCTTTTTTCCGCTTTTAGTTTAAAAGCAAGTTTGACACTCAAAGCGCTAGCTGAAATCAAACTGAATCAACAATAAAAAGATTTAAGTAGCTACCAAAAAGTAGCTACCGAGCAATGACCTAAATTTTATTAGACTTTTAATTTTATTTTTTAGGGATATATTTAATAAAAGCTCTTATGTGTTAATAAGTTAAGAAGAAACTTCGCGAGTAGGGACAGGAAGGAACAGGAAGTTCATAAAGTCAACCTGTTCAAAAAGAAAAAAATAGTAAACAGTTATCTATCGCCTTCCCTTTCGTATTGCTCTCCATAAAAATGCACATTAACAAGCTCTCAGAAACACACAGTGAGAGCAACACATGTAGAAAATAATACAGAGAATTACCAGAGGCAACTAAACGACAAGATGGTCCAACGTTTTGCTCAAAATTCAGATTAGGAGATTGTTACGGAACTCTTGCCCTTTTGTTATCAGTAATAGTGGTATGTATAGTAATCCTGGTAGCAGTTACTTGACTGCTTGCTCTTTTATCTTCATTATTCGTATGGGCAAGGATCCGATTGATAGATTCTTAACATGAAGTTGCGTTCTCTAAAACGTTTGCAAATCTACGGAAACGACTACACAATTCTGTGTTTTCTGTCTTACATATATATATATAGGTGAGTTCGAACGAAAAAAATCAATCAGTAAATATGTATGTACCAAATATAATTTGTTTTCTTTTCATTGTTTATTTCATATTGAAATATTGTACAATTTATGTTCACCAAATGCTTTAATAAATTTCAGTGAAAATTTTCATAGCAACAAGTATGAAGAAACTTTTCATTACTACAAAAAAATGATGCTTTAGAAATAATTTGTCCTGTTATTTATATATTTATTTACTTGCACCTACAACTGACGGGGATTTTTGCAGTTTTCCACATCATATATGAGTTATTGTACAATAGGCGTTGCCTATTTATGTCTAGACTATATTCCAGAATGCCCTAGCATGCTGTAAATTTGTCCAAATTATTCCCCAGTTTTTTCATATTTCTTCATAAACTATAAAAACATATGGTGGACATGAAGAGCAAGCAGCCTAATGGCCGCTAACTAACATTATTAGTTTGAATTTTGAGCAAACTGTTGTACCACTGTGTCATTTAGTTTACTGTGAGAATGCACACTGAGGACTAAACATGAACAAAGTAGTAGACTTCGACATGACGGAAACATGAATTCTTTTTATTTTTCATTTTTCTAAGAACCCGCAATAGAATTGAAGGTATTACGTGCATTTTTTTTAATCGCTTTATTTGCTCAAAGTTCAGGTCAATCAAACTAAAACTTTAGAGGAGGATTAGATCAAAGTTGAATCGCTGTTTTCGCAGAACTATATTTAAAGCCAATGAACACGATTTTTTAGGAATAGATGCCATGGAAGTCAAACTCGGTGTGCTATCCCACTTACACAGTAACTGTAACTAACCCACTAAGGCATCAATTTAATATCTTTGCAGACGTTTTCAGTGGAAAATATGCAGTGGTAATAGCTGATCGCGCTGGCTTTGTACTGGAATTAATGCAAATATGCATACACGACAATTTATTTTGCTTTGATTATTCGTTGATTTATGCAAGTTCACAATAAATCTACCTTTTCACTAAAGGTTAAATTTTTTTTTGAAATATTTTTACTACTATGTTTTATTAAATGTGTTGAAAAATTAGTAGGGAATGCGTGGAAAAATTCTGATTACCTGAAACAAATTTCTTTCCTTCACTTTTTTTCATAAAAAAGTTAAATCGTGAAACAATTTCACGACTTTTCAAAAAAAAAAAAAAAAAACAAGTAAGAACACTATTGTCGGTCAAGGCCGCCCATTTAATACTCTACACGATATTGTCTAACACAGTTCTTATATTTGTATGAAGTTACGATTATGGGTCAATTTTCATGGTCACATATTAAAACGTAGTGTTTTATGCTCTACAAAGACTCAATTTATTGTAGGAAAAGATCAAAGAAACTGACCGAGATGGTCCAAATTTGGTACAGTTAATTTTTTTATAATAAATTACTATTATTATATAATTTTCATCATATCAAGGTACAAAATGTCATCAAAATATTTGAAAAATTGCGTCCTATACCTTGGACACAGATTTACATGAACAGATATCAGACGAACAGATGGACAGACATGAATGATTCTGAATCGATCGGTAAAATAAAAGGTGGGTCTATCTTAAGTCCTTCTTTCCCTATTAACTTAATATATCCTGTACCACAAGCCAGGTAGGGCTCATGCACACAGTCACCGCATCCACCTCATAGAGTTCCTAGTAGCTATTTCCTTTCCCACTTAGGAAACTGTTTCGCGATAGTCATTTGAAATCGATTGAACCTATTAGATAAGCTTTACTAATTGCCCTAAGGTGCGATTATAAAATCTATTACAATTACAAATTTCTGTAAACAAACAAATCGATGACAATTGTGGTAATCTAGGAAAAGAAGTTTACATTGATGTTTAGAGAGCGCGGATTTCTTAAAATATACAAATTCCCCTTAATTATTTATTAATTTTTAGTAAATTTTATCCAATTCATTTCGTTCGATCGCATTCAATGATTCAAGATCAAATAAAATTTAACGAGAAATAAGTTTAATGCATTTAAAGTGTACTTTAAAGCGATGTGAATCTGAAAAAAATCCCATAACATCCACAATGCATGAATCAACGATATATCTTGATTAATAATAGCGAGAACTGAAAAAAATGCAAGTCATAAATTTAGTAAACAATAGTAAAAGAATGTATGTATATTTATATATGTATGCAGCGTGCGCCAGGTGTAAGCAAGCAGTCAAGCTCGTAAATGAATTAATTAATGGCTAAGCCATTTACTAATTGAATGCATTGCTAACTAGGAATGCGTTAGAATACAAAATTAAAATAATTTTATAAAAAGAAACCGTGATCTCGCATCACTATCGACCAAATTCAATTAATGAAAAAGCAAAAAATTATCTTCGTGTTGGGTCAAATTTTTTAATACTCACTGCTAGTTTTGGTGACACAAAGTATTGCCGGATAAAATTTGATTTTCTAAGCAGATCTTGTAACAATGATTTTTAACGGTCATCCGGGCAACTGTTACTTATATATACCTATGAACATAACCGATCGCTCAGGGAGTGTCCTCTATACGTATAACTTGTTGATGGATGAAAAAACGAAGGAGATAGGAAGGCTAATTGGTATGTGCCCAATCGGAAAATGTTATGCCTTTACGCGACTGAGCAAGTATTGTCTGTGATTTTACATGGACAGACGGACATACACATCTAGTAGTCGATATGTATTTACTTGTACGTCCGATCATTATCTTTACTTGTGAACTTTTGATAAGATGACTTTGTATGTCTGTGCCTAGACGTAGGGGGTTGCTTTTTGTTAACGTGAAAGCAAAGCTGAATTTTATATAAATTAAAGCAAAGACATTCTGTTGTGATTTATTCCTTTTATACACTACAACCCTTGTGGTGCAAGAGTATATTAAGCTTGTGCGGATGTATGCAAAACCCAGAAAGACTTGACATAGAACCACCTTCTGTTATACTGATCGATTCAGCATCAGTTTTTACATCGATCTGAGCTTGTCAGTCTGTCCGTCCGTCAGATTATTCATGCATTCTTGTATTTAATCTGCAGGTTGCAACTTTTAAGATATTTTGATGAAATTTGATAGCATTAAAGGGTTTTCGACCAAGAGTAAACACTATTGAAAATGATTGGAATCGGAACACTTTTTCGACCAGCTTCCACGTAACGTCTCATTTTGAAAAGTCAATATATAGATAACTGTTCATTGGTGCGGAGCATTTAATGTTGGGTTGCGCCTCACTGTAGTCTTTTAACTTGTTTTAGTTACTGAATGGTTAAGTCGTAGCTAGCACGTAAATATGAATGAATTCGATTTATCCAAATGTTTATTATTCTCGTTAATATTACAGTGTGTGCGACCAGCTTTAATGGGGATTTACTATTAAATTTGTTTCTCATATCCACTACTTCACAACTTACGTTAAATGCTTATTCTACTAGGGATCAATCAAAGTATGATGTTAAGCAGTTAGAAATTGAGAACCTCGCAGACAGAGCGCGAATAATGGTCTACTTAACGTCCTTAGCTTTAATTACAAAAGTTTAAAGTACGTATGAAAATGTGCAAATTTTTTTATATATGATTTCCTGGTAATTGCACGTGAATCCTGAATGTATTTAGCTACTGGATAATTGAAGATATCTAAGCAAAGTTTCAACCCCATAAAGTTGTTACCAGCAAAACAATAGAAATGATTTCCATATTTACAGACATCCAATTTTATATTATTCAGATACATCAATCAATAATTTCCGGGACGAGAAAAAGAAAAAAAAAATTTTTTTTCCAAAATACGGTTTTATTCATCACTGTAGTTTCCTTCAAATCAGCCCAAAATTTCTCTAACATTTTCATGCTACAAGAGTGCATTAAGCTTGCGCGGGTGCTTGTAACAACTTTAGATAGACCCATTTTTTATTGGGCCGATTGATTCAGAATCTTTTAATGAATTTATTACTAATCGATTCAGAACCTTTTTCCGATACAATATAGACTTGTCTATCCGTGTCCTAGCTGCTAATGTAAATCCATATAACTTGTGCTCAATTAGGCAAAGCGACGAAGAGTATTGAATAGTCGGCCTTGCTCAACTATAATGTTTTTACTTGCTTTGCAACTATTGTGAGAATAGTCATATATCTTTATAACTGGGTGTCAACGACAACAATGCATGTAAAGCAAAGAATTTACTTTATTTATTTATTTATTTATTTATTCACATATGAAATTTCAGCTAAAATAAATTAACAGAAGAATTTAATTGATCCCTTAGAAATAAATCTTCTGATAATTAATAAAATGTGGGAAATGTGATCAAATCAGATCAGAATTTTAAATTAATCGGGAATACATGTATATATAAAGATGGCCTCTAAAGGGGAAATAAGTGTAGTAGACTACTGTCTACTGTTTCTATGAATTTTTCTAATACTTTTTAAATGACATTAAAAAAATATTATTAAATTTGGAATAAATCTCTTCTTCTTTTTACTGATTTTGCGCTGAAAAGAAGCAATACATATATTATAGTATGTATACTATCAACGATGAATACTAACTAAATAAAAACGAAAGAAAAAATTTGGGATTTAAAATATTTTACAATAACCTGTTGAATAAGTATTAGATCTTAATTTAAACGTATGCTTTTTCAAATGCACAAAAATGTGATTGCATTCGAATTCTTGTTAACCTTGATATAAAGCCAAAGCGAAATGAACGAACTGTTTCAATGTACTTGAAAGTACAAGCTAATTGCTACAGACATACAAACATTATGCAACTTATTTTAAACAATATTTAAAATGTTAAGCTAAAACACCACCAGCCAAGATTTATGCATATATATATATATATATATATATATATATATATATAGATTAGAGATAGATATATACTGTTGTGCCAAAATTGATTTAAAAGACTTAAATTTAACAGTTACTTCACTTAAAGTACTCCAATCTACCACTTACTCTTTATTAATCTTTAATGATATATTTTATTGTTGTTGTTCTAATAAGTAAGCACTTAATTTAATTAATTATAATTAATTTTGTTTATTGTTATTGAAATTTTTATTTTACCACATACACAAGTGTAAAATGAATTAAATTCACAATTCGAAGGTTATATTATTTGTCACTTTTGTTCACTTCACAGCCCGAAGATTTTCTAAAACGATAAACTTCTAAGCTTTATACGAGTTGTTTGCCTTATTTCAAATAGTAGTAAACACACCGCTACACGCTAACAATGAGACTGAAATTACTCCGCAGCTTGGGGCAGTTTTTAAAGCAAAAATCTTTTTAAAGCAAAAATCAGGACCGGTTCATATATACTCAGTACAGGGCACATTTTCAAACCATCACTCTGCAATAGATTTTTGTGTTCATTTCTCTCAGTATCTCTCTCTCTCTCTTTCTTTCTCTCTTTCTCTCTCTCTCTCTCTCTCTCTCTTTCTCTCTCTCTCTCTCTCTCTCTCTCTTCTGCCTTATCTTTTCATTCATTTATTATTGAATGCGGGGTTTAAACTGTAGAATTACTTATATTAACAATTAATTAATCGCATCGTAGGCATCGATGTGATTGATATCACACTTGAAATAATTTCATTCCTCAATGACTTCTGGATTAGATAAACACTAAAATATGATAGAGAGTCAGTTTTAAATCTCAAACAAACCAAATTTATTTATGTATATCAGAAGTAATTCGACAACTGATTGTAGAATTGATTGATTTGAAATCGGGACACAGGGATAACTAGTGCGATAGGGCAAGAGTTGGAAATAGTTTCTGCTGAAAGCGTTTCGATCCGATTAATATCCAGCGATTTTTGTAACAACGCAAGACGAAGGAAAGTTTAAATGGAACGGAGGGAAGCAGAAGACTAAGGTGCAGAAAACTTTTTTTTCTTTACCTTGCACTTGGAAAACTAAAATTGTAGTTTGAAAAGAAGTAAAAAAGATTCAAGTGGAATACACGCCAATTACTCTTCTAATTGTTTTTCTTGGTCAAGGGATTAAGTCCAACGCTGTTACCATAGTAATGAACGCCTAATGCTTTAACTTCTTGTTGAATAATTCGGTATTAGTTACAGGAATAGTCATTATAACAAGGTCTCGTGAAGAAACTCTTACTGGATTATGCTTAAGTTCCTCTCCTGCGAAGACCCGAACGGTATTATACTCAAGAGCATCACCTCTTTATAAGTTGTGCGAGGTTTGTTATTTTTTCTTTTCGCTCTAAATAAAATTTCGATGAAATCGAACGATAATAATAGTTAAAAGCACTATTATGGAACACCCTACATTACTTCATCTAATACAACAGGTAAGAACATTATAGTCGAACAAGGCCAACCACTAAATACCCTACCACCACATTGTCCAACACAATTCTTAATTTTATATGAAATTATAAGACTGTTATGGGCCAATTTTCATCACCACACATATTAAAACTTAAACTTCTCTGTCCTATTAGAGTAGGAACGAAAAAATAGGCCGAGATGGTCCAAATTTGATACAGTTAATTTTTTATCTTGAGTTACTATTATTATCTGATTTTCATCTTGAATATTAGACCTTTTCGGTCATACGTACTCTAGTTTTCATTATGTAGGGGGGAGTTCAAACCATTTTTTCGAGCCGTTCGGAAGTTTTCATGCCAATCATACCAACAAAATACTATGACTTTGCCACCTTTGTTGAGAAACTTTGCCTCCATATAACGATTTTTCAAAATAGGGCGTTATAAGGAGAGCGGTCAAAAAAGTAGAGTGGAGTGATCTCAACCGTTTTCAGTAGCGCTCGTCCTTGGTACGTCTCTGCATCAAACTGCAACTTGAACCCATAAACAAAACGTGCACAGACATCATGCGGATAGACCTATTAGAAAGTGATTCTCAGTCGATCGGTGTATAAGTACAGTCGCCAAGTAGAACAAAAACTGAAAGTTAGATTTGTGACGGATTCAAACTTGGATTATAAGTACAGCCTGGTAACTGCTAAAAAATTCTTCCTATTCACTCACTTCCTCTCATTAAATTATCAATTGTTGATTTGCTGAATTTTAGAAGGAAAAAAAAAAAGAAGAAAAAAATTACTGGCTCGATATCATGCGAACAAAAAGTTATTCATTCAGTTTGCATATATTAAACTTCAGACACACATATACATTTCGATATTTTAAAGGCCCTCGAAATCCTTTCAACCTCCTACGGTCTTGTCTGGTTTTCTAAAACGTCACTCACATACAGATTTATTTCAGTATCCTTTGCACGCTATCTCATGCATGCACAGAAAAGCACAATGTAGAAAAAATAAATAAATAAAAGTTGAAAATAAAAAGAATTTGCTTAAAATCGTAATCCAATTTTTATAATATAATATAAAATAAACAGACCTAACTTCTCCGATTTTGTGCTAATGCAATGGCAAAAATCGACATAACCGGATAATGTTAGGGGCAGGCTATATGTAAAAAACAAGTTCTCTTTATAAACGGCTCTTTTTTCCTCCTTCATACAATGGTCAAATAAGACCATATACATATTAACGGTATAAAAGAAATTACAATTTTCGATTTCTTCCATTCCTTTATATAGGGATATCCATCCAGCTAGATTATTAAAACCAATTTCATATTCATTAGCAACAATTTTGCTCGAAACATAATCAATGCTGGGAGACGTACGAAACTTTATGCTAACTAAGAGAAATTGCTACTATGAGCCCGATCACCAATACAATATGGTAAAATTCCGAACTAGAAGAAGCACATAAGACATCAGGTCGGTGCTGACCCGTCTTATTAACTGTTCCCATCTTTTCACGCTCTTGAACAGCTTGAGTTGGCAAAGTTAAACCAATTTCCCAGAAAAGGTTTAATAACGATAACCATAGCCATAGGTTTAGTAACCCCATTACGATCATTTGATATCGATTCCGACAATTTAGTCCTTTTCATATAGCAAATTATGCCTTGAAGTAATGAAATTTTACGTAGAAAAGCTTACATAGAACAAAATATACTAATGTTACTTATACGTAAGGTACACATAATTGGTTTAACTTTTAGTATAGTAATAGTACGCACACACACAATACACAAGCGAATGAATTCTTTGCTCTATTAGCTTCGTTATGTGCTCTTCGTCAGAATTATTCGAATATTTCTTATTACAATGGCATAAGCGTTTGTGTGTTGAACGATGCTCATTCACATTGAACCCCGCAATGACGTAGATTCAACTGTTTTTTTTTTTTTTAATGCAGGGGAAATTTTCTACTTACACAGAAATCTCAACAATAAATTGTCTTGAATTCCCCATACTTCTGTAGACGATAACTTGTGTGTTAACAGTGAGTTCGAATATGGTGACAAAGATATGTTTTATCACTAAGCTTAGAAAAGAGGAAAACGTGCTCTTAATAGCTACAGCGATGTTGTACAAGTTTTTCCGACCATTATAATAATGAAAGATTATGCTCTAATGGTTTTCATACCCTATGACAGATGGATGCAATGCCCGACCATTTCAGATTCCCTTTCTATAGCGTATGCATATAGTCACTATAGCGTATGCATATAGCATCCTTTTTCGTTTAATGATCGGCACAATTCCATCAGTTGTTGTTCATTAGTCCAGTTCAATACCGGGTTTAATAGTTCACTGAGATGCAATCTGATTTCTTCCGCTTCGGAAATATAACGCTACACTTAAATTTTAGTACATAGCTCGAACTATTCAATCAGCGCTAGTATTGCGACTCCAAATACGCCCTCCCTCTAGGGAGAGGTTTAAAGTACTCTTAAACACTCAACATTTTATCACAATTGTCATATTCCACCCTGTAGTGGTAAATGTGAAAATCACTTCTAAAGGAGATGAATCAACAAATTCCTTTCGCTTCTTTTCTCTTATGGTTTTATACATTTGTGTATGCAATGCAAAAAGTTTTTCTTTCATTTCAGGAAGAAAGATGAATGCGCAGAGTGGGTTCCTTTTGTTTGCTTTGTCATGATTTAGCAAACCAAACAAAACGACCCACTTGTTGATATTTTTACAAGTTAGAAGGACTTTTGAAGCCTTTTAAATTGCAGAGAAGCCGACAACTATATATAATATATTCTCAAGTATGGCAATAAAATATTATATTATTTATAGAGGAGAGTCAATCAACAATGCCAGCGAAATTAAATAATTTAAACGAAATGAAGCGAACATTGGAAAAATTAGTAGCTAAAAAAGCAGTTGTTTTAAATTCGAACTTAAATATTTTATAATCATAGGATGCAACTTTTTATAGCTTTCCTTAAATTTTAAACGAGTTGCTGGAATTTAATTAATTGATCACATAAAGCCGAACATTACTACCGCTGAAGAATAATAAAATAAATGAAAAATTTAAAGGCGTTAAACTATATTGATCACAAGGCGACATTTCAGCAATCATTATTTTAATTAAACCCAATCTTAACAAATTACGCCATTGCATGACTCTGGTTCACTAAGAAAAGGGTCGGGAGTAACTAAAATAATTTTTTTTTTTTGCTCTATGCCTTAGAAAAACACAAAATATCATATACAGGTCAGATATTTTAAACACCCTACACCTCTTGCGATACAAGGATGTACTGAGCTTGTGAGGCAGTCTACAAAATCCAGCAGAACTTCAGGTAGATCCACCTTTTCTTATATAACGATCGATTCCGAGTCACTAAGTAAATTGATCTAAGCTTGTCTGTCTTGAGTTTGTTCACATATTCTTGTTTTAATCCATAGACCGTAAATTTTGTTACATTTTGATCGTCCATCATTTGCCCATGTGAGTTTATGTTCAACTCATATGCGCCAATTTTTGAGGTTTTTGATGAAATTTGAAATATCGATGAATGCAATAACGCAGCAGCTAGCAGCACAAGGACTCGATAGATCTATCGGTAAATCACCCATTAATTCAGAAGCACTTCCTGAATCAATCTGAGCTTTTATGTCCGCAAGTCTGCCTGAGATGTGCCTACATTTCTTGGTGCTCAATCTACAGATCGCAACTTATGAGATATTTCGATGAAATTAGATACAACGACATATTTTGACCCAAGAACTCCCACTATTGACAATAGCTCGGATCGAATCACTTTTTCAATTACTTCCCATATAAAGCTGCGTTTTCAGATGAAATATAAATGGCCGCACTAAGCGATGTAGGGTATTTAATCTTGTCCCAGGAACCACTATAATGTTTTTATTTCTTTGGATTTCAATATGCGTGAGACCCTCAAAGGTTCATCACATCAGGATTAGGCAATATTTCTTCTTCTTTCTATTTGCACCAGTTCCTAGGTTGTTAATAAACATTTGTTGGAAATTTTAAGGTTTTTCCATACAGCTAGATTACTTGGCAAAATAGTAAAAATAAGAGGGTACACTTTCTTAAAGTCAACCTATCGTTCGATGATTGATAATGACGGATCAAACCAAGCAAACCCATTACATTTCATTTTAATTCATTTATTTGTTTCAACTAAGTAACTACATAATGAATCATGGTGTGCGTATGTATTTATTGGATAATTTGAATGATTTTCAAAAATTAATCGAAAAAATTGAAAAAGAAAAGTTCATTAATTTCCATAGCCGCTAACCCTGGTAATATTTCCTAAAAAAGTAAACAATAAACGGATTTTCAAGATAATAATTTGTTGCTTAATACTATGCACATAGAAAACACTTAATTATTTTAAATTTACAAATTACTTACAAATTTACAAAATAAACATTACTTTCCAAATCAAGGAAAATTTGGAAACGTTTACGAAGAATTTTTACCAACTTGTTGGTTTTGTATGCAAACTGTTTTCAGGCAATTATTAGGTGTTTGCAAAAACTTTGATCATTGACTTCTACTGCTAACGATAATGATAAAGAAATGTGAAATGCCAGTGTATATAACAGTTAAATTCGATGGTTTTGACCAGCCTTTAGAGGCGTTCACAAACTTATGCCGGTTCATCACATTCCAATTACCGATTTTGTGCTCAAATGTTTAAAAGTTACACGAATTCACTGAAAATGTCATTTTTTTGGCACTTGTTGCAAGATTTGTCCATTGTTGCAGCTCGAAAAGGAAGTTCCGGCAAAACCAACGTACTCACCAGACATGGCGCCTCCTGGTTACCGCCTGTTCATATGGATGCAACATGGCTTGGTTGGACCGCGGATCTGCATAGTTGAATAAGTCCGAAAATGGCTCGTTGGACGGATCGCTACGAAACCGATATATAAGTTCTTCCGTCATGATATCGCCATGTTGCCAAATATATTGTAAAATGTTGTGGAAAATAATAGAAATTAAAATTGATTAAAATTTAATATAGTACCAAATTTCCACAAGAAATGCCTTTTCCAAGTGAAGAAGTGATCATAATTTTTGCAAACACCTAATAACAAAATTTTGAATTTAAACAGAATACGACTTTTTGAAAAGCGGTTTTTCGGTTTTTCATATGCGATGCTGATGCAGAATATGTCAACACTGCAAATCACAGATGGTGAATAAATTTGCCCATTTTATTATCAAATTGTGCCGTTTGATAAGATAAAATATATTTCCAATTTTAGCAAATGGCCAAGCAATTAAACTTTCGTACGTCTGCTAGTTTAATTTTATTAGCTAAGGATAAATTAAAGCCGAAGGGACCAGCTGATTATAAAGTAAGTTTGTACAAAGCAGAAGCATATATGGATTTTAGTGAATTTGCATTACAAGTAGACTTTGCTATTCAATCGTCATGAGAAATCAACCTTCATGCCAAATTCTGCCGTATTTCCTGGCGGGGTAAGTGAAACGACGGATGAGTCTCCTTTATGGTATCAACACTTTCAAAAATTCGGCGTAACTAAGGAACAATTAGACACAACATACGCATTTAAAGGTGCACGTACAGGAATTTATAAAAACGAAAATCCTAACCTTCTTAAAAGGTACGTTGTCGCCTCCAAAAAACGCTTAGAATAAAATATTTCCATAGAGAATTGTCACTACGCATAACTGCTATTCGAGAGACTTTCGAAGAGGTGGGAATAATGTTATGCCTCGATACAAATTCTTTGCGAGAAAGCCACCATAAAATTTATGGTGCCTTTAAGGAAGATTTTGATCGTCGGTATTGGCAGAAGGTGGTGCACGGTGACGCTTCAAAATTTCTTACTCTTTGCGAAGAGCTGAAAATCGTACCTGATCTATGGAGTTTGCACGAATGGTCCAATTGGTTTACGCCATCAACATTTAAGAAACGGTATTCTACAAGACAAATCTAGAAGAATTAAATTTTTAAAAGCAATCATTTTATATATTTTTTAAGATTTGATACAGCCTTTTTCATGGTAGCTTTAGAGAACGTTCCAGAATTGTTAATCGAACCTAATGAAGTCAAAGACTATGCGGTAAGCAAATTTTCTACATATACACAAGTGAAATATATTTTCTATTTAAAACAGTGGAAAACGCCTTTAGATTTTCTAAAAGCTTATCACCGAAAAGAATGCTGGCTTCCGCCGCCACAAATTTATGAACTCTCACGCTGCTTAAATTTTAACGAGCTATCGCAGATCATCGCTTATGCTCGACAGCATGCGAACAAGGGATCGATTGTTACTTTACCTGTACTCTATAAGTGTACCGATGGTCAAGTAAGTTTATTGCCTGGTGATCAAATGTATCCAACCGATCCTTATCTGAGCCAATGTGCGATCGCTACTGACAAAAGTATAGAAGCATTTCGTAGAAACGTTCAACATTTGCATCGTATTGAATTTTTTGGTTCCCACGATGTTGTAATACGTATGAATATCGAACCATTTGTTGGGCACGTGCGTCCAGTTAATGCTAATCCGAGACGTGAATGAAAACAAAAAATATCCAAATCTAATTTAATCAAAATGCATTTAATTATTAGTTTTTTAATGTGAATAAAACATCAGACTGCAAAGTCTATAAGTTCGAAAGTCAAGCAAGGTTTTAAGAATTTGTCTATTTTGCCATCAAATGAGAGATCATTTGGACAGATCATTTAGCTTAGCAAAGAACCAAAAACACTCAGAAATGCAATTGAATTCGCCTGATTTCTGCGGAAGCTTTTATTCAACAATATTAAAAAAATATTCATTTTTACTTATAGCTGACCAGTTAGCTTCATTGCAGACAAAAAAGTTCAGAAATTAGTTTTATGTCAATGTTTATAAAGAATTAATTCACAAAAAGGCAATGGTGGAATCTTCCAAATGTTTCCGGACCACAGTTTTGAGAGGAATATAAATGCCGAAATTTATTGTAAAATTTTTTCGAAGGCGCATTTATTGCGCTAATGTGGAAGGTAGATTAAGTAATGTATTTTGGTTTCCAGGTAAATAGGCTACACCGCGACTTCTAGACAGTTGATAGGCGATGTCTTCGGCAGCTTCTATACGGCGTAATTCTACTAAACCGTCGCCTGCTTCACCGAATGCTTTGGCTAACAATCCAGCAGCAGTAGCATCACCTTCCGCTGAAATGATAGCCGCCAATTTCTGCTGTTCAGCCTTTTCCACCACAAAACGAGCTTTTTCAGCTTCTTGTTGCGCCACTTGCTTCATTTCGACAGCCAAAGTAAATTCGCGTCCGAAAGTTAAATGAGTGATAGAAATATCATCCAAAATAAAGCCAAACTGTTTAGCACGTTCAGTCAATTCGTCTGATACTCGTTGGGAAACCATCTATGAGAAGATAATTGTGAAAAATTGTTCAATATACACTCAGGATACACCTAATTTCCTAGATAATTACCTCACGCTGTGTTATCAATTCGCCGGCATCAAATTGGGCTACAACAGCCTTTAAAACTTCGGGGGCTATGGAAGGCAACACTCTCTCATCATAGTCCTGGCCCAAAATAGTGTAAATTTTTGGCAATTGATCTGGTATGGGACGATATAAAATTCGCAAGGTGATATTAACATTTTGTAAATCTTTACTGCCGGTGACCACGGGAACATTTCGTGGTTGTGAGCGTATATCGTAAATTATCGGACGTTGAACCCAAGGTATAAAGAAATGTGTGCCTTCGCCAGTAACTTCATTTTTAACACCGGTAAACCGGTCAAATATAACTGCACGATGCCCACCGTCGACGTTATATAATGCTGAATTGACAACGCCTCCCACAATAGCAACACCTAAACCAAATTGTCCGACACGGTTCAAAAATTGCGCAGCCATTACTTCATTAATCTGAAAAAATAAAAATATATCAAATTTGCAAAAATTAAAAATAAATATTATATGTTTTTTTAGGTTAGCTACACACAAGGCATGATATGCAATGTTAGTCGCTTCCTTTAAAATTCTTACTACAAGCTATGCAAGGGGTATACCTAAGATAAAAATTTTTATATGTATTCTCATAAATATTGAAACGTATAACAATTCTACCTTTTATGTAGAAAATTTAATGTAAATCAAAAAATTATTACAAAATCACTAAAATGCCGCACAGAAGAAAAAATAGGATTATTATGTTTGCGATGATTAAATACCGATATTTTCATAAGTACAGAGTTCTCCTTTCATTCCTATTTCTAAGAGATTGTCGAGCAATTGGCATTGACGTTAATTATGGCAACATTGTTTACTACGGTTTGTCTTCAATGCATGAATTTCTCTCTGAACTCCCACGACAAAACATTGAAAAAGAATTTCAACGTAATAAGGAATAATTTTGCATAAAGGAATAAAGTGCATCCTTAAAAGTGTACTTGGAAATAAGTGCAAAGAAAAATTATGTTAAAAGTTTTCTGCTTAATAGATAGTGAATAACAAAAAGTGAGGTAAAAAAATTTTTACGTTATATATAAAAAAAATTATCGACCGCAAAATTATATTTGTGTGCGTATAGAGAATTACTTAACGTAATTTCTAATGGTTTTATTTGATTTTAGCAGTGGAGGAGAGAAAAAGAGTAAAATTAGAAGAAATTTGTGATTATATTTTTAATGATAATGTGTACAAACGGTAAATTTTACTTGATCAGCAAAGGCAACCTTGTAGTATTTATGGAGTCTTAAGTGCAATTTTATCCTTCTATTCTGTCGCGATGAAAGTGAAACATAAAATTTGGATAACAACAGTAATTAAACAAAAATTGTTAGAAGAAAAATCCTTATAAATTTCTAAATTGTGGCAATAAAATCACACACATTTAAACGCATACGCCTTACGATCCGAAATAGATATACGGCTGAGTAATAAATATTGGACTAAGCTTGTTTGCTTTCGCCAATTTCGCCTAATGACAGAAGTTTTTATACTTTCTCTTGCTCATACTATCAGTTACTGCTGCCATCATCTTTTTTAATGATGATATCATAAGGAGAACTATGTATACATTTGTTGTATGGAAGGAAAATTACAGTTTTTAACTTTATAACATTTTCACGTAAATATTTTCTCTGTCGTCATTTCTAAAGATTTTAATTCATTTTGCACAGTCATATTCACTCATTTCTTATCACTGTACGTATTTTTGACATTTTGCATGTAGACTACATTTTTACCTCTTCCATACATATTTTATGAAATCACCTCAATATTATTACCACCTGTTGGATCGGTGAGTTAAGTTCATGTATTTCGCTTACATATATTTGTGTTTGAAATATTTTTCTTGCGTGCGCGTACGGAAATGATTAGGAAATTATATATGTGTTTTTAGGGGCAGTGCTTCTACGGCTTCACGAATAAAATTATTGTGCTTTAAAGGCATAATCTACATTCGTATGTATAACTTTACACATTACAAAATACTTGTTTCTTGTGATAAGTGGTAAAATGACACAATGTAGGAAACGAAACTGACTTCTTACTCAAGTGTTAGCTTTAAGTAGAAGGAAAGGTGAATCGCGTTCGGATTTCAAGTTCGGAAATCATCAGCAAAGCTGAGGTTCATTAAGTGATATACTTTCAATATCATATTTTAATTGGACACGAATCGGGTCATCTGTATACTTGTCAAAGCCGTACAAACGTCAGTGGAAATGAACGAAAAAAAGGAGAAAAATCTAAAGCACTCTTCATCGAATTCGTACACAATATAGTGACTTCAAATTTGAAAGGAAATATTTGTCTTTCTCTTATTAACACCTATAAACAGGCTTTGACGTTTAAAGTAAATTTCCGAATCCATCTAGACCTTCTCGCATGTCTGTTCGCTCATTGTTGATAATTTTAAAGTCGCAGAAGTTAGTAAATTCATTTCGGACGTATGAATGCAGGTATGGTGCAATTATAAACTTTCCGTTCGGTTGTAAACATTACCGAAAGCAAATTTAATTATTTTAGTCATTATAATGTAAAGAGCAGGTTCTGGGAAACTTAAGAGTATACACATTTTTGATCAGCCTGAGGATTTGAAAGTTTAATACGTAAATTATTTTAAATTACGTATTCATATATGTTCAACTTTTTCGCTAGCTCTGCCGTATGGTGCGTTGCTTTGTTGAAACCACATGCCGGAGGCGTCAAACTTTTACAATGCGTACCAAATTGAAAATGAGAAGGTAATAGGTATTCAAGGCGAATTCTAGCTCTCTTACCTGTTATTATACCGCTTGCTTTTTAAATATGAAGTTGACTTAGTTAACGTCAACAACGCTTCACTTCATTCGTTGTAAATCAACCATAAATATTTATTAGCTTTAATTAAATGGTTTTATTTTGATTTAATGGCTCTCGTAGAATGTCATATATCATTACATTGATGGTTTTGTAGAAAAAGTTAATATTAACAAATTATTGCAGTAGATGATGGGCTTATTGACCAGTGGTAAAATAGTTATATTAAACATTTTATGAAAAACATTTAAAATCTTATAAAAAATACGACCGACCGCACTACAAAAAAATTATACCAATTACTCTATTTTCCCATTTAATTAGAGTTAAACTGCAATCATGCTAGATGCCGTTATTTATACATTAATATTCCCCGGTGTTGATGATGAGTAGCGTGTCAGCGCCTTTAATGAATGGTCTATAAGTTGTATAGTTTTGCATAGCATTTACCGTTTATTATTAGCATGAAGGACATTAGAGGGTAATTAACGGTTTATTTATGCAACAAATCGTTTGCCACTAACTTTCAAAAGAACCGCATACAAAATATATTCCGTCTCCATTCATATCGTAACAACGAAAATCGATAAATAAGTTAGTTATGTATTAATGAAGATTTTGTTCTTAATTTTTTCTTTTAGAAATGATGATAGCATGGCTAGTTTAAATAATAGCAACGGTGTAGGAGGAGGAGGTAGTGCTACGAACACAAATGTCAGTCACGAACCACGACGTCAAGTGCATTTGTGGTGGGGTCAACGTTTATGGCAAGCCCTCAGAGGTCGCATACATATGCGGACACCACCTCCAACCACACCCGACGACGATATGGCGACAACAGCAGCAGTGGGGGGTCTTGATGAGAGCGAGAAACGCGTCATATTCATAAACCGGCCACAAATAGGGAAATTCTGCAACAACCATATATCTACAGCCAAATACAGTGTTGTAAGCTTTTTACCTTCGTTTCTTTTTGAACAATTTCGCAGATATGCAAATTGTTTTTTTCTTTTAATTGCCATACTGCAACAAATACCGGATGTATCCCCCACGGGACGTTTCACTACATTAGTACCTTTAATACTAATTTTAGCCGTGAGTGGAATTAAAGAAATTATCGAAGATGTGAAAAGACATAGGGCGGATAATGAGATCAATCACCGTTCAGTAGAGCATTTGACCAATGGAATATGGTTGACAATACGTTGGGAGCAACTCCAAGTGGGAACCATTGTTAAGATACCCAATAACACTTTCTTTCCGGCTGATCTAATACTACTGTCGTCTAGTGAACCGCAGGGCATGTGTTTCATAGAAACATCCAATTTAGATGGAGAAACCAATTTGAAAATACGCCAAGGCGTTCCAGCTACAGCTAAACTACTCGAAACTAAAGATTTATTGGAATTGGATGGTACTGTGGAATGTGAACAGCCTAATCGAATGTTATACGAATTTAATGGTGTATTGAAAGAACACGAAAAGCAAAGCGTAGCATTAGGTCCAGATCAAATTTTACAGAGGGGAGCTGTTTTACGCAATACGTCTTGGATTTTCGGTATGGTCGTTTACACTGGTCATGAGACTAAGCTAATGAAGAACTCTACGTCAGCCCCTTTGAAAAGATCGACGGTGGATCGGCTAATCAATACCCAAATACTTATGCTGTTTATGATTTTGCTGGGTTTATGTTTAACTAGTGCCATTTTCAATTTCATTTGGACTCGCAATTATTTTGAAAAATATTGGTATTTGGGCTTAACCGATTTCAAGAGTCGAAATTTTGGATATAATCTTTTAACGTTTATTATACTCTTTAATAATCTGATACCGATCTCATTGCAAGTCACTTTAGAGCTGGTTCGATTTTTGCAAGCTCATTTCATTAATTACGATATGCAAATGTATCATTCTGACTCTGATACGCCATCTGTAGCTCGTACATCTAATCTAAATGAAGAACTGGGTATGGTCAAGTATATATTTTCTGATAAAACTGGTACTTTAACACGCAACGAAATGGTGTTTCGCAAATGCTCCATAGCTAACCTTGTCTACCAAACCGAAAATACGCCAGAACAAAGTTTGGTGGTACAGCATCTCTTAAGCCAACACGATAACGCTGCCATCATTAAAGAATTCTTAGTACTTTTATCCGTGTGTCATACTGTTATACCGGAAAAAAACCCGGACGGTTCTATTACTTATCATGCAGCTAGTCCCGACGAACGCGCTCTAGTAGAAGGGGCTAAGCTTTTCGGGTATGTGTTCGAAACGCGCACTCCACATCACGTCGAAATAAACGCTTTGGGAGAAAAAGAGCAATATGAAATTTTAAACGTTTTAGAATTTACTTCGGTTCGCAAACGAATGTCGGCTATAGTAAGAACACCTGAAGGCGAAATCAAATTGTTCTGCAAAGGAGCTGACAGTGTAATTTATGAGCGTTTGGCTCAGGATGGCCAAGCATTTCGTGATGTTACGTTAACCCATTTAGAAGAATTCGCCGTTGAAGGATTGCGTACCCTCTGCTGTGCAGTGGCGGTTATACCTGAGGACGTTTACAACGATTGGCAAACTACTTATCACAAAGCCTCCACATCAATAACCGACAGAGAAAGTAAAGTGGCAGAAGCTGCCAATCTTATAGAAAACAATCTTACGCTTCTGGGGGCCACCGCGATAGAAGACAAACTACACGAGGGTGTGCCCGAAACCATAGCATCTCTTTTGGAAGCAGGCATATTCATATGGGTTTTGACTGGCGACAAACAAGAAACCGCCATTAATATTGGGCATTCCTGTCGTTTGATTTCGCCCACAATGGACATTGTTATACTTAACGAAGAGAGCTTAGATGCAACTCGTGAAGTTATCCATCGGCATTCTAGTGAATTGCAAACTAATACTAACAAAAATTGCAATGTTGCTCTAGTGATTGATGGGAAAACCTTAAAATATGCTTTAAGCTGTGATCTCAGACGTGAGTTCCAAGAACTATGCACTGGCTGTCGAGTAGTAATCTGCTGTCGAGTTTCACCCATACAAAAAGCAGAAATCGTCGAAATGATTACCACCTCAACAAGGGCTGTTACATTGGCAATTGGTGACGGAGCCAATGATGTTGCTATGATTCAAAAAGCTAATGTAGGCGTAGGCATTTCCGGTGTAGAAGGCTTGCAAGCTTCCTGCGCCTCCGATTATTCTATCGCGCAGTTTCGTTTCTTAAAACGGCTGCTATTAGTGCATGGTGCTTGGAATTATCGACGTATTACCAAATTGATATTATACTCGTTCTATAAGAACGTCTGCCTTTATGTTATCGAATTATGGTTTGCTATATATTCAGGTTGGTCGGGCCAAATTTTATTTGAACGCTGGATTATAGGTCTATACAATGTGATGTTCACCGCATTTCCTCCTATGGCGATTGGTATCTTTGAGAAAGTCTGCTCAGCCGAAACTATGCTGAAATATCCGCTGCTTTACAAGCCATCGCAAAATGCCAAACTATTTAATGTGAAAGTGTTCTGGGTGTGGATTATGAATGCTCTACTCCATTCCATTATTCTTTTCTGGATGCCACTGTTGGCTTGCCAAAAGGAGACATTATGGCTTCACGGTAAAACGGCTGACTACTTACTGCTTGGCAATCATGTCTATACATATGTAATTGTAACGGTATGTTTGAAAGCTGGTCTTTCAACTAATTCGTGGACATGGCTAACGCATGCCTCTATTTGGGGTTCGATAGCGTTATGGTTTCTTTACATCATCATATATAGTAAATTTTGGCCATTTCTCCCGTTGGCTGCCAATTTTGCTGGAATGGATCGCATTCTCTTCAGCACGCCTGTATTTTGGTTAGGTCTAATCCTAATACCGATAACCACCCTGTTAGCAGACGTCCTGTTTAAGTTGGTACAAAACACTGTTTTTAAATCCCTAACGGAAGCTGTACGCGAATCAGAAATAAGACAACGCGATCCAGATGACGTTATGAACGAAACGAGATCCTCATTCACAGAGACAGCCAGACTTTTACGTAACGTATTTGTTAGACGTGCCACCACACGGGTTGATATCGATGTTGAATTGTCACATGGTTACGCCTTCTCCCAGGAAGAGGGTGGTGCTGTTTCGCAATCAACTATAATACGCTCGTATGATACAAATTTGCAAAAACCGCGGGGCGACTAGAAACGCAAACAGTATTGGGCAAGACAAAAATTCTAATATAAAATCCAACCAATCGACAAAAAAAAAAAAAATGCAAAAATCTTTTTAAATAGCAAATTAACTAGTAACGAATCGAATTAAATTTAGAATTTCTCTCTTTAGAAACGATTTTCTACTCCGAGCATCGAAATCGAAAAAGTCCGTATTTAAATTTTACGTGAATTAGAAAAACCAATCTTTTTCTTATTTTCCAAGTTTTTCATCTCTGTTCTGATTTACTGTTTTTGTACTTTTACTGCAAACGTTTGGATTCATTAGCAAAAAGGGATGAATGAATGCCTGGGGAACTAATTCTAATTGATATTTAAGTTATTATAGTTTGTCGTTATTATATACAACGATACAACGAAACTTTGTTCTGCTATAAGCCTACAATTAGATAAAATTATTTAACTTTTCTTTTTGAAGATAAGACACTCTCTTATTTTGTCTAATGGTGCCGACTAAGGAAGTTTTTTTCTTTATTAGTTTTGTTGCTAATGACAAACTTGTAAAGAAATTATCTGTTGTAACTATTCTTCCGCAACTAATGTATGGATCTATAAGTTTTAGGACAACAAATTTACCTAAAGATACGGATAATCTCATTTGGTCTTTTCCTAGGTAGGGAAATCCATTTACAACATATTTACTTTTTACATCCGACGACAAGCAGAATTTTATGCCAAACTTATTTGGCTTTTTTGGCATGTACTCCGTAAATCTACATCTGGCCTTGGTCGGGAATAACTGCTCATCAACTGTAATGATAGCATCTGGTTTACAACACATTTGATTGTTGTTGAATTTATTCCACACCTCTGAAACTAATGCAAATTTATCCGTTCACGGATATACGACGAGGGACCAACCACATTTTCAAATCAAATGCTTTTGCTTTTGCCATTACCTGCTAAAATTTTACATTTTCTCTAAAGCTTCAGCAAATTATAATAATACGATGTATGATGAGTCATCGATAGAAAAGATTTCTAATAGAAAAGAGACGTTAATGTCATTCTTTGTAGAATTCCGTTGTTTTCTTTTCTTTTTTTTTTTTGTCATTACATTGTACAATTTTCATAATTTTAGTTTAGTGGATTCTTAGATCGAAAAATTCCGTAAGAACGTAGATGAATTCGCCATTTATATCTTCGATATGGAAGACAAGCTGTTTCTTGTGTGAAAGAGATAAACGAACAAAGGATACAAACTTCCATTTAGTCCTTCGGGGGGTCTTTAATTTATTTAAAATATATGAAAAAAGCTTTACGACCTTTTCGGTACTTACAACACTGCCAATCTTGACGAACTGATTTCTTTCACTAAGATGGCTATTTTCTCACTTTGATTAACTCGAAGTTTTCTTTAATATTTATTATTGTTATAATATCATCATCATCATTTATCTTTTCACGATTTCTTCCAATCGCTTTCTGCCAATTAATGTAATCTTTAATTAGCTAAAGCTTGATTTCTTTAGCGTTGGCGGTTATGTTGTGAAATATGCGACGCTCGCTTGGTCAATTTCCTGAACATAACTAAGAGAAGAGTGCTTCGAAATAAGTACTGCATATTGGTGCAAAGGTTTTTGACTTATCTTGGTTCGCAGAAAATCTCTAGAATCATCAACTAGCTGTATCTGAAGCCTTATACTTGAAAGGCCTTTCGACGTGTGTGCACATATATATATATATACCTATATAAATTGTTTGATATATATATATATATATATATGTAAAATACGATTAGAGTGCTAGAATTTTTATTAATTAATAATAGAAGCGAGGTCATTTGAGAACTGTCTTGAATACATTGATTTTATCTATCCTCTTTTTGTTTTTGCTTGCAATAAATTTTTATTTACATCCTTATCAGAATTTTTAAATCTATGTATTCTTTATTGACATCCTTATTAGAATTTTTATGTTCTTTAGTTAAGCAAAAGTGGCATTACTCACTATAATGAATCAGTGCAAACATTAAATTTCTTGGAGTGAGGAACATTCTTGCTTTGAAATACTTTTCATTGCCGCAATTTTAGAAATTTTTTAATTCTATTTGAAACCTTTTTTCTTTCAATTGTTCTATCCTTTCTCACGGTGACCACATTTTTATATAACTAATTGGAGCGACAACATTTGTGCGGGGATGATGAAAGTAAACTTTAACTTTTAGTCTACAGCGATTGAGGCAAACATATTCAGCTTGATTAACGGAACAGAAGTACATTTACACTAAAAACGGTAGGCTTGTGCACATATCACTTTCAACATCTTTTCTCGTAATGTAGCCTAATCGCTAAGCAAAAAAAAGTATTTTGAAAGAGTGTATGTAGCTGCCTTTAATGAACCGACATGTCGAACTGTGCAAAGTGATTTCCGTTAACACCTCCCTTCAGGTTTCGCACTCAATGTTGTAAGGCCTATGAAATATTTTCTTTGCCTCTTCGTTAACTTTAGGTATATCAAGTGCAACAACATAATTCCCAGGAGAATATTTCTGATTTGCTTTCTTTTAAGCCAAGATTAGACTAGCTCTAAAAAAGTAGGTAAAACTCTATTAAAGCAGCAATCGAATTCGATTTCAAAAAAGAAGAAAGTGAGCGTACCATAACTTTAGCAACACATATATAGCTGGCTATGTTGCAACGACAGTGAGAAATATGGTCTTTGGAAAAGGTACACTAATTACTAATTTGCGGAAAAATGTTTGCAAATCTTTTAAACGATATTGTTTTACTCGCAGAGCAATCGGTGGAATGGCCCTAAAGACGTTTTCTCTAAGCATATACTAGCAAGAAAGAGAAAGCTACAATATAAGCAAGAAATCAGCATTGATAGTTCCCCAAATAAAAGTATTTCCTTATCCGGACCATCAATTATTCTATTTTGTTAGTGTAAAAATCACGATTGGCGTAGTCAAGCGACATTTGTCTGACATTTTTAGATAGTAGAACTTGAAATGGATGAATAGCTTTAGCCAATTCTTCATTTTATATTAAATATTTGTCTTGTACAACACTGTGCGGCGCATTATTAATTGAATAAGTTTTAATCTAATTATATTTAAAATTTTTTTTAAATAAAACGGCGTATATATATATATATATATATATATATATGGATATGTAAGTATACATATATATATATATATATATACATATCGAATAATAAAAAAAATAGAAATGGCCAAAAAAAAAAGTTGTTGAATTATAATTAAAATCTAACCAAAACATCGCATGTATAAAGAAATCTATAAAAAAAGAATATCATTAGCATATAAAAAATGGAAAAAAAGAAAGAATTAGATTTTATTTAATTTAAATTATATGCAAATGTATTCATTGTCATTGCTAGTCGATAAGTTCTCAAAGTGCAAATAAAATTTTAAATAGATTTGATAAACTAAAAAATAGAAATTTTTGAAAGAACTATAGAATGCAATTAAAAAATGCAAAAAACAAAACATTTACTTAACAAACATAAAAGAAAGCTAAACAGAAAATTAACTCCTAACTCTTCTACGTGTCTTAACTTAGATCTAAGTGTTATTTATTATTCTAATATATATACATATACATATATACATATATATACATATATATATATATATATATGTGTGTGTGTGAATTTTCTTTAAATTAATATATAATACATTTGCTTTCTCTTTTAAGCACACAATTAAATGTGTATGCGTGTGAATGTAAACGCAATCTGTTGTTCAACTTAAAAAAAAAAAAGCTATAAGAGAGGAGGGCATTAAAAACAAAAAACCAAAAAAAAAAAACAAAAAAAGAATCAACTACATATTTTTTTTTTTACTATATTTTTATTTACTGTTAACTTCGAAATTATAATCATTATAGACATAAGATATACGAAATACGAGGAATATTTTATTAAAGTAAAGAAAACTTTGCATCTTGAAAAACGAAATTAAAAATTCCAATAATAATATATTTTTGTTAAGATTGGATTCAAATTATTTTCCCGATTGCTCTAACCGATCTCTATCTGAATATTCTATGGTTGTCCTCTGGTTTACGCATTCATGATTTAAAAGAGGTAATGCAAAGTTTTCCTTATCATTTGTTTAAACAATTACGAATTAACAAAGACAAAACAAATGTGAAATATGTGATCTGTGTTGTCTAGCATTTTTTTCTTTCGTGTTTTTTTTTTTTTTTTTTTTTTAATATTTACATAATTGTTTTAAATAAAAAATGCTTTTTGTTAACTTTAGTGAGAAACCATATTTCTATTTCATTGTACTTATCACAAAAAGTAGATAAGTTTATCAAATAATTCTCACGCATGAAAACGTACAGCGACAGCCGCATTAAATTACGCAGTTTGACGTTTAGCAACGTTTGCTTTAAATCTCTGTCATCCTTGATAGGTTTAATTCAGATGACAAATATTTTCTTTTTTATAACTTTTTTATTATAAATCATGAGTTTTTTATTTTTATATCGTCATGGTAGCACGGCCTGTTCCTTTAGGCATTTTTTTTGTTTACCGAATCTTCCAATTCCTTAGCCTTATAATAGTGCGGGGCCACTTCCAAAAGCCATTTACTTTCAATTTCTATCACTTGACGCATGTATTCCTTGCTTGTAAAAACCAATTCATGATATAAAACCCATCGAGGTAGTTCTTCAAAGAGCGAAGAATTTGGATGTATCATCACACTTTGATTGTGTTTAATGGTTTTATAATTTCCTCCCTTAGATAACCGAGCCACGTGATAAAAATACCCAGCTGTTATGGCTTTACGTATATTCATTGTATCCGACTGACAAGACATCATATCAATTTCCACTCGCTGCATTAGACCAACCAATTGTTCGCGTACATCACGTGCGCGCTTCATCGAACGATATTGTATGAAATTTTCATAACACCACTGAGTACTGTAATCCGTGTCCACCCATTGATTGTACACACGCAACAAACTTAAATGATCGCCATGGATGTGATTAAAATTTTTTCGTGCAGTGTCCGCGTGAATAATCTTAGCTTTAGGTCGATAGAAAATAGCACTATTAACCGAGAGCATTGCGGCTATTGAAACCATTTCTTCGGAGCATTTGTACCTAGAACAATATTTTATTGCTATTGAATATAAAATTGAAAAAAATATATACTTATATACAAATATATATATATATATATATAAATTATATCCGTCAGGGGATAATTCTTGTACACCTACCACTTCGAAATGCCATGTTATGGGCGTGGACGTGTGAAAATTAAATTTTTCAAACACAACAGTTTATAAATAATCCAGATTAAGATTTCGAATAGGATTAATTGTCTTAAATATAAAGCGCTAAAAATTAAGGAGAATAAAGTTGGATACACCTACACAAGCTAATAACTCGAAAATTATGGAATGCCTACACTGCATCTTACAACATAATGCCTTGGAAGGATGTTTATGTGGACAAGTTAAAAATTGTGTCAATAAACAACTGCCGACAATTCACGGCCATATTCAGTTTATGCTCTGAATAGAAAATGTCTTCTTTGTTTGTTTCAAAATTGTTGAAGAAAATCTCTGCTTAGCGGAGAGACGGCATAATCATCTCCTGATTTATACTAAATAATTCTAACCAATTAATTGTACTAAAATTTAAAGCGAATATTTACTTTTCACTGGCCAATAACATTTTTCCCATCATGGGATCTACGGGAAATTCGGCCATTCGTCTTCCCAACTTAGTGAGCTCGCCGTGATGATTCAATGCACCTAAGGCATAAAGTTGCTCCAAGGCCAATACTAAGGTCTCATGTGGAGGAGGATCCAAAAAATCAAAATGTATTAAATCATTAATTCCTAAAGCTTTTAACATCAGGACAGCATTGCCCAAATTAATACGTTGTATTTCAGGTATAGTATTATCTTCCAGCTCATGTTTGTAAGACCAAGCAGTGTATAAACGAAAACATTTGCCCGGAGCAGTGCGACCTGCGCGTCCAGCTCGCTGATTGGCGGAAGCCTTAGAAATCGGAACGACCATTAACGATTCCATACCCGTTCGTGAATTAAAATTATTTTGTTTTGCAAATCCTGGATCTATGACGTAGATTATATTATTAATTGTTAAAGATGTTTCAGCTATATTCGTGGCCAAAATTACTTTTCGTGCGTTTGGTGGCGTCGGTTCGAAAATTTTCGCCTGCATATCGCTCGGCAGATTAGCGTAAACGGGTATAATGATCAATTCTTTGATTTTTGATCCCAAACGCTTTACTCGATCTTGCAAGATTTCCTGGCAAGTTTCAATTTCATCTTGACCGGTAAGGAAGACTAAAATATCACCTAACGGTTGGGTGGCATGTATATGCAATACGGAAACACAACAAGCATCAATGTAGTCAGCTTCAGGAGCTTTTGTGTAGTAAATTTCAACCTAGAACAACTAAGAAATTTTGGCAAAAAACTTAACACATTAATCATTTTACCATTACCGCATATCTTCTGCCAGGAATACGAAATATGGGAGCATTGTCAAAGAATTTGGAAAACTTTTCTGCATCTAAAGTTGCGCTTGAAATTAACAGCTTCAATTCTGGTCTAAATCTAGCAATATCTTTAACCAAACCAAACAATATATCTGTATGCAAGGTACGTTCATGCGCTTCGTCAATAATCATTACACTATAGGATCCCAGATCAGGCTCCGATAGGAATTCTCTATGTAAAGTGCCATCAGTCATGTATTTCAGGATAGTTCTTTCTGAAAAATGCAAAGGCTTTTAACAGTTTGAAAGAAAGCAGGGTATTTTGCCCAAAAATTTACCGGAAGTGCAATCTTCGAAACGAATACTATAGCCAACTTCGTTCCCTAGTTTAACACCCATTTCTTCGGCCACTCTCGCGGCCACAGACATAGCAGCCACACGACGCGGTTGAGTGCATCCGATCTTTTTCTTATCGTCAGTGAAGCCCGCTTCCACCAGATATTGAGGTATTTGGGTAGTTTTGCCAGAACCAGTTTCTCCTTCAATGATAAGAATCTAAAATACAAAATTTTTAAAAATTTTCGCCTTTTCTATATTATGCATGTAGTACTTGATGTTCTTTTATAGCTGCTACGAGAGCGTCTTTAAATCGATAAACAGGTAAAGATATGCGTGTTTCTTCGATTGTCATGCGTTTGCGTTCGGCCTCAGTTAATTGTGGTTGTTTATTTGCTTTATCTATAGAGCCATCCAGTGTAATAGATTGTATAAACTCAACTTGATCTTCGAGCAACAGTTCATATTCATTTTTGGCCTTAGCATCTTTGGCGCCAAATTGAAATCTAGCAGACGCCAGCTGCTCGGACTCCCATTTCTTTTGTTCAAAGTGAGGTAACTTTTCATTCTCGTCGACTTCGACGTATTCCTCTAAAAGATCAGAAGAGAAATCAAACCGGCCCTCAAGCCAATTAAAAAACCCTTTTATTTTATTTACCTTTCTCTCCTTTTTTTAAATCCCGTGGCATGTGATAACGTTGTATGCGCTCCAATTCCCTAGCCCTTTCATGTTCTTTGGCGATTGTCAATAACTGCTTTTTATATTCCCGTTCTTTCTTCTCTTTTTCAGTTAACCTGAAATTATATTATTGTACTTTTCGTAAAAACTGAAATCACTTCCCCTCATTACACATACATTTCTTCTTCGAATAGATATTCATCGTCGAGAATGTCTGCTTCAAGTTCAGCCACTTTGTCCTCCTTACGTTTTTCTAAATATTGCCTCCGAGATTGTATCCGCAACTGCGGCAATATCTTTTCTCTATCTTCCGATTCTAATTTAAGTCTCTTTGCAGCCTCTTCAATAGCCTTTCGGTTTGAAGTGGACTCCATGACTTTACGTGTCCGACCTTCATCACGTTTCTTGAGTCGCTCAGCGAATTCATCCCTTTCCTTTAAATCCTTAAGGCGGCATTCTTCTTCAACATCCAACTCCTCGGAGCTGCTGCTCGATCGAGCTCCTCTTTTGCGATTTCTTGACATGATAAAATTTTTTACTAATAAAACAGTTTTTGTTCACTTTTTATTCATTTTTTTTGAAGCAAAAATATTGTTTTGATTGTTTGACGATATCTTTTGTTATCGATATCTCTAAGTTGATATTGATATGTTTCATTTTTCTCATGTTATTATTTGTTATGTTTCATTACGAGAGAAGATAGCAATCAGAAGTATGGTTAGTAAGAATTTTTTATCTTATTTTACCTGAATGTTTCCATGGAACAGTTGTAGAAATGAAAAATTACTCGTTGTGGGATTAGTTGTTAGGCGGATTGGTATTATGTTCAAATGGTCTTTCTTTGATTAGACTGGCATAAGTAATCTTTTGCTACCATTCGTACTCCTAGTAGAAGTAAGAGCTCTCTATCTCAGCCTCTTTCCCTAGCATTTTTTGCTGTTTCTTCCAAAGTTAATAAATATTTCTCGTTTACATCCTAACGAACTTCATCCGCAATCTATAATACATAAAATGAAAATAAGCGAAGGGACTATCGTTATATACCCTAACACCACTTCGTTTAATATAGTTATTCATTTAACGATTTTTTAAATTAAGCCTTTATCTAGAAAGCGGTCGAATAGGTGATTAGGAGTCATTTTCAATAGCTGTCATCCTTGAGCCAAAACATGTCTGTGTACAAAATTTCGTCAAAATATCTCAAAAATTTCGAACAGACGGACAGACGATATAAGGCAAAAATGATTCTGAATTGATCAATATAAGAACAATTGGGTCTATCTCAAGTCCTTCTGGGTGTTGCATAAATCCGCAACAACTTGAATATACTCTTATACCATAAGTGGTGTAGAGTATGAAAAGTCTATTATAAATTTTGTTCCGACGAAACCGCGACCTGACAATTCTTCAATTCTTAAGTATGAAAAATGGTTAAGGTACCATTAATTTACTTGAGAGCAAGAAAAATAAGATATGCGAATAGAGAATGCATTTGAAAGCTGTTGAGTCATGCCATGAACATAAATTGAACGTTTTAAACCGCCTTTTGTTTATGAAATTCCTTTTCCTTATTTGCATTGTCGCAGTCACGAAGAACTCATCCTTTATTTTCTTTCGTATGCTCTAAGTGCGCCTAAAAAAAAAGAGATAAATCTTTCTGTGTATTATGAGCGGACAGTAACGACTTGGGGTTCTTTCAATCATTTCCCTAATATTTTATAGGAAATGTTTGTTAGTATCTCGAAGAAAAATGCATTGATTACGCATAGCATAGCTTAACATAGCACCCTCAAGCTAAAAGGGTTATCAGGACTTTTATGTATAACGTTTACTAACTATGGTTTAAGATGAGTTTGAACGTATCGTACAAAACCATTGGGATACATTCATTTTTCGACATATATACATACATATTACATACCTTCAGTAATGTCGTTTACTTACCAATATTTTCAAAAGAAAAAACCGCAAAAAATTCATTTAAATTTTTATTACTTTTGAATGCTTGGGTTGAATTAATACAATTTTCAAATTTGGAGTAAAACTAAAAGATTTGACACATTAAACGGTTCAAATAACAGAATTTGCGGTTATATAAAGAGAAGTCGGTTAAATAGTGTTTTACATTAATTATTTAAAATTTACTTAGGTTTGAATTGCAAAAAACAAAATGGAGTTAACAATATTTTGGATCATCATTACTCTGAACAAGTTATCTGGCATTTGTGAGGAGTACAGCTAAAATTCCTTCAGGAATATATTTCGTTCATGAGTTTTATATTTCCGTTCGGTTCATCGCTAATTTGATATTTCTGCTAACTTCGACTGCATATAAAGACTGTAAGTATTTCTGGCAATCGAATTACTTTGGAACATATCATCTTACATTAATCTGATGTGTTCGTTCTCTAATCTTCTAGATATCTGCATCTCCTTCGTCATGGTCCATGTTTAGATGTTACACCCAAAATCAGGTAGGCTTTTTTCAATTTGCGTTCTTTCAAATTTAATTAAAAATCCAGAAATTTACATCTACATTACGTTATTGTAGGAGTTGTCGATTGCTACTTGAGATGGAATCGGGAAATGCTATCGGGCATGTAATATATTCCAGAAGTTCTGTTATAAAGGGAACATAGTCATCAGGTCGCAAATCCTTCTTTGTTTTCCTTTACAACAAAACCTAATTAGTGCCAATATGCACCTTCCAGTAATTGCCCATCATGCACACATAGTATCCACACATAGTATCCATAGTATTGAGGGAAGCAAAATGAATGTTTTTCAATTTAAATACGCTCCATTCTCTCATAATATAATTCCCGATCCAGTCATCATCATCAGCACGCGTAACTTTTGGCAAAGAAAATACAACTTTTTCTAATATTATCTGATGAATGCTTAAAATTTATAAATAAAGTAATTTTATATATACATCTTGAGATAAGATATAATAGCTTGTTTCAATTGTTATTATGTTACGATTACCAGAAATACTTACATGTTTATACCCAAAGGCAACAATCCTAAGGGCTATTTACCCAGTCGACGTTAGCAGAAATTTCAAATTAGTGATGTGTGATTAGTTTGTTCAACACCATTATATATTTGAATTTTTAAACGTAACTAAAATCTGATAAATGCTTTAAAAAAGGCTGCAGCTCACTTCTGCTTTGTAACCTCGCTTAACGCATCCAATCCGTTAGTCTTACTTTAATTTTGAAAATCGTATTAATGCATCTCAAGCGTTCAAAAACGGTATAATTTAAACAAATATGTTACGGTTTTTGTCGTTTTTTGCACACTTATCACCGATGAATCAGGAGTATATTCATCTACTCAAAATGGTTGTTACGATCGGAAAAATTCTGAATCAATCTAAGCATATATGCATCTGTCTCTCTCTGTCTTCATCCGCGTAATGTCGTACGGTAAATATAGCCTTGATCGGAAAAATGGAACGTACGCAGTCAAAATCGGTGAGAATACATAATTTTCCAAGAACACAAAATATTGAGTCTTTTTTTTTACGTATACTATGTGGCTGATTCTTCAACACTTCAAAAAATCGAACAGGGCTACCCAATAGTATAGGCTGCTGAAATTTCATTCTTCTATCAAAACATCTATGACATCATGGAAGAACAGGCTAGAAATAATACCCTATAAATAACATATATCATTGATCAGCAACATTTTAGTCATATTTGTCCGTCCGTCTGTCATTTTCCTTGCCAGCCCGTTCACTGTAGTAAACGTCCTCTTGGACTCAAATATTGGTTTCAAATTCTATATGAATATTGGAAAATCTTCCATGCAGGGTGATATTGAAAACGGATGAAATTGATTAGAAGTAAGAACATTGTTTTTGAAAGCAAAACAAGTAAGAGCATTAAGTCGGGGAAGCCCAACCACTCAATACCTTACACAGCTTCGCCCAGTACAATTATTGGCGCGTTTTGGTAATAAGACACCTAAAAATGACACATTACTTTCACACGAAGACTTATACATGGAAGCAGAGGACGCCGTAATCCAAATTTAGCAAACTTAATTTTCCTCGCACAAATTCTACTACATTTCCAATTTTTGCCGTAGAAACCTAGAAATTATTTCTCACTTTCTCTCCATGTAAGGACTTGCTTTTCATGATAACCGTTATACGCCCTATTGACCGTAACTAGACGACTACTTACGACTATCTTTGTGCACATCTGAAAAGAATTATAGTAATTGCAATGTAAAATGGATAAATAAATTTAAATCGAAATGTGATCATGTAATAAGGCACTTTCTTCTTTCGTAAAAGTGGGCGTAAACCAATGTTTCCTAATTTCATCAATTTTTCAACCCGTTGTGATTATTTTTCCAAAGATAGTTGTGGGAATAAATAAAAATTAATTAACAAATTTTAACACATATGTAAAATGTAAGAAAGAGTAGTCGAAAACGAGTCAAAGAGAGTCGTGTCAAGAGATTTGTTTGATTGACATTTCCTTTTTCCACATATTCCATTATTGTAAGAAAATAATTTCATTCTCTTTTCCACAGATTTGCAATAGTCTGTGTTGGTCATATAAGTTTCTTTGCCATCCTTATCGATAAAGTGGACATTAATATCATTCGGCAATAGAATTAGCTTGGTTGTATCATTGAACATAACACCTATGCCCTCGTCGCATAATTGATGGCCGAAATCGTATTTGTCGCTGTAATCCACCCACTTTGATATCCAAAACAATGGCTGAGCAGCTGGGTCCGTATTCTCATCACCTAAATTTCCGGCTAACAAGCGAGGTTTGGCTTCAATAAGCTTTGTTAATTGTTGATACAAGCTTTCTATGTTACTGCGACAATCCTGATTATGTTGATAAACATGCGTCGATGCAGTGGTGGCATCGTGCAAGTTGTGTTTAAGAAAAGTCGACTCCAAACGTGTATCATCGTATCATACACCGTTCTCCATCTTGTGGATTCAGGTTTTTCCGCACCAGGGTACCTCAAGTACCCTGCCAGGTTGCCAATTGTTGCAAATCGCTGACTTTCTGTAGGCTTACGCCATTGGTAAACTTTACCTAAAACTATTACGACATTTCTTGTAAAATACGTATATAATAGAAATAATAATTAAAACACTGCGTAAGATTTTCTTTTTATAAGAAACTCTTTGCTTTGCCTTTAAACAGGGAATTTAGCGAAGACTTTGTTTAAAAATTATGACGGTTTAATTTTAAGCTAATTTATAAAATAAAAGAAATTAAGAAATTTCATATGAAAACATGCATTTATTAATAAAAAATAAAGAAACATTAGATAGTAAATATCCTAAAGTTTACAATTTTCTGTTAAGGGTCGTCAAGGGTATTCTTTAGATAATTTTATAATAATAATAACAATAATTTTACAAGTTAGCCTAAAAGTAGACTGCCATAATTTTTTTTTTATTATCAAATTAAACAAAACAGTAGCTAAATTTTCTGCTATTTACAGAGCGAACGTAATACTCTATGCTAATGTACAGAGCGAACGTAACACTCTATGCTAACTTGCAAAGCCGTCGGCAAAAGTCCCCAATTTGTTCCAAATTCTCTGTTAATCAATCAAAAACATCTGTTGAAATTCTATAGTGAATAAGTAGTGAATAAAGCATATAAATAAATAAAATAAAGTGAAAATAAAGTGAAAATGAAATTTATAAAATTGCGGTTTTTCTTTACTTTTTTAACTTTAAATTAATTTACATTAATTTACACCTAAAGGTAGGCAAGCAAAGCCAAAGTTAAATTCTCTGCTAATTTACAGAAAGAAAGTAATACTTTAAGTTAATTGCAAAGCCGTCGACAAAAGTCCCGCATTTTCATTAACAAAAAACTCTAGAGCAAAGGGCTGTTATTTTAGGTAATCGATACAAAAAAAAAATTCAATTGTTAACAATTAGTATTTAATTGTTAAAAGTTAAGAATTATTATTTAATACTGGAAGTTTATTGTATTTATTGTATTATTGGACATTTAACAGACTGAATGCCATTACCACTTTCATTTGCTACAAAACAATATTTACTATTAACCATAATTTCAAATCATATAATTTATTAGTGCAATAAAAACATGAATTAGATAAATTAGTCCCGCCTCTATTTCTCCTTCTACGTTCCAGTCTTTTTATTTTATTTCTTTGTATACGTACAAAACCATACCTTTTACCAACTCCCACCCGGAATTCCCACTCGGGGAAAACGCAACGAGACTTTATTGTGTCGTTCGCTTACCTATTTGCCGTTTCATTGCCTTAAAAAACTATCATGTTGAAGCCCTAATTGCATTTGTGAAAAATTTCTGTTCGGAAAATATTTTCATACATTTTGCTATCGATTTCTTGGAATAGACACGAGTAACATCTGACATCATTAAGTTTATCTTATTTTTCCTTCTGCAACGTGCAATTTTTCGATAATCTGATGCAAGTTTCGCATCTATGAGATAATTATAAAGTTAGACGAGAATTATTATTGATTTAAATTATGCCAGCTGGGGAAATGGCCAACCTATCTTTAGGTAAGTTAAATATAACTATATATCTGCATTAAAATTTTTGTGCTGTGAGTTGGCAGAATAAAATAAACCTATGCGTTTATTTATTGAGGTGCTATTTTTACTTCCGAGAGCAATGGTTGTGATGAGACCGGCAATGGTTCCGAAGACAAGCCTTTCAAAACCATTCTTCAAGCTATGCGACATGTTGGTAAAGAGCCCTTCCCGACAATATACGTAGATAGCAAAGATGCCGATGCCATAGAACGCTATGAAGTGGCTGCCAAATCACAACTGAAGAAAATTCAAAAAATTTTTGTGCGTGAAAGCTATAAAAATGTGGATAGAGAAAAACGTGAAGCGGAAGATGCGGAAAAACGTATGCAAAATTTGGAAGAAGCCAAAAAAGTAACCATTGAAGAAGATCCTACATGGACAAAAGCTGAGAAAATTCGCATCTTTGAAGGTTTGGATAATCGTGGCAAACGTATAAGAATCTATGGTTGGGTACATCGTTTGAGAAGGCAAGGCAAAGGTTTAATTTTCATTACTCTCCGTGATGGTACGGGGTTTTTGCAGTGTGTTCTAACTGATCGATTATGTCAAACGTACGATGCTTTGACTCTTACAACTGAGAGTTCTGTACAATTGTTCGGTATTCTGAAGCAAGTTCCAGAAGGTAAATCGGTAGGTTCGAGATGTGGATGTATGATGGAAAAGGTTTTAATTTCCTCTCTGTTAACTTAGGCGCCTGGTGGGCATGAATTGCATGTAGATTATTGGGAATTAATTGGTTTAGCTCCAGCTGGCGGGGCGGAGAGTATTTTGAACGAAGAAGCTCATCCAGATGTGCAATTAGATAATCGTCATATCATGATACGTGGTGAGAATACATCAAAAGTTTTGAAAATGCGTTCTGTGGTTATGCAAGCATTCCGTGGCCATTATTTCGATCGTGGATATTGCGAAGTAACGCCACCTACATTGGTGCAAACCCAGGTTGAAGGCGGCTCTACACTATTTAAGTTACAATATTTCAGGTAAATGTAACGATTGGGAATTTTTCCATTTCATAATTCTTCCGTATTGGCAGTGAGGAAGCTTATCTGACACAGAGCTCACAATTATATCTGGAAACCTGTCTACCAGCTTTGGGTGATGTCTTTTGTATTGCTCAAAGTTATCGAGCTGAACAAAGCCGTACTAGGCGACATTTGGCTGAATATACCCACATTGAAGCTGAATGTCCATTCATAACATTCGATGAGTTATTGGATCGTTTGGAAGATTTGGTATGCGATGTAGTTGACAGAGTTCTGAAATCAACGTGGGGTGATGCAGTTTATGAATTGAATCCAGGCTTCCAGCCACCAAAAAAGCCATTTAAACGTATGAACTATGCGGATGCAATAAAATGGTTGAAAGATAATAATGTCACTAAAGACGACGGAACATTCTACGAGTTCGGTGAGGTAAGAGTGCAAGCTAAGAAAGAAGAAGCATCGCATTTATAATTTGAATTCTTTTTAGGATATTCCGGAGGCACCTGAGCGTAAAATGACCGACACTATCAATGAGCCCATAATGTTATGTCGTTTTCCAAAAGATATCAAATCATTTTACATGTCTTTATGCCCTGAGGATCCTCAACTAACCGAGAGTGTGGATGTCTTATTGCCTAATGTGGGAGAAATTGTTGGTGGATCTATGAGGATTTACGATAACGAAGATCTCTTGAGGGGTTACAAACGTGAAGGAATAGATCCTAAACCTTATTATTGGTATACAGACCAACGCGCTTATGGCACACAGCCGCACGGTGGTTACGGTTTGGGATTGGAGCGGCTTCTTTGTTGGCTGCTTAATCGCTATCACATACGTGAAGTCTGTTTGTATCCACGTTTCTTAGACCGATGCCGACCATAATTTAATTATAGAATCTCGTATAGAAAAGAGGAGTTGTAAGCCTTGACTACTGTTACGCAAGACATTCTTGTTGAGTATCATGCGTAATAAAGGCATCTTGTGCTAGATAAAGTCTCAATATGTTAAATTAATTTTAAATTCAATTTATTTCGTCGGCTTCAATTTGCATATCGTCCAAAATCTCTTCAATGTTGTCATCATTCATAAAATCATCAGGGCCCCCTTCATCGGAAACTGCTCCGTCGTCATCTTCAGCTTCTTGACCCTTAAAAATATGAAAGTATTTTTCAAGAGTATGTTACTTCGTCTTTACAACTTACCGTATTTTCGCAGGATTCAAGTTCAGCATGTATGTGCTCTTTGCGGTAATGGTTTTTCAGCAGATCCTTTATAACATTGCAGACAATTTGTCTCACTTGACTATCAAAGCCAGACGGCAGCCAACCCGTACGTTCATTGCATGTAGCACCAGCTAGAGGCGATGGTATCTTCTCCAACATTTCCTGAATTTTAGGCATGCGAATATCGCAGTACTATAAAATTTAGAAAAAATATCTTAGTTGATTTGCTGTTATTCTAATTTGAAGGGTCTAGCTCTCCAGCTAAACTTAGGGTCTTAATACAGTAAGGTGAACGGATAAAGGAAAATAGCGAAATAAAAATTGAATTACTCTCAAAATGCATTGACGTGAACGAGGCAGCTTATGTTCGTCAAAGTAAGGATAATCAATATCCTGCACCAAGGTATTAATTTCATAAGGATTTTTTTGACGCTTTTTAATACTAGTCTTGCGATCGGACACCTAAAATTTACAAAATTTAGTTAAAAATTCATGTTTGAATATTCATAAGCATACAAACTCCGCGATGCCTGAACGAAATCTTAATCTAAAGTCGAACGTTTGATAATAACGTGAACTAAAATCCTTACGTGGATCATAACCATATCGCACGTACATTGTGCGCCACGGTCCCGTAGAAAAGTAATATGCCATCGATGGTATTATACATTTCAATTTGTCGTTGCTGATACCAGATTCATACAAAAGCGCGATTCGAGTCCACACAGGACATTCCTCAAAGAGCTTAAAAAGATTTTCTTGTAAGACCATCTTATGCATATGTGGACTAACGTATTCACCTTTTTAACTTTTTCAAATTGCTCATCGGATACGTACTTCACTTTCATGCGCTTAATGATCTGAGGATCGGGACGAGCGGGAAAGCTATCTACGGTGCTGAAGGGTACTATATCACGGTTCTCATAAGAGGACTTTTGACATACACCTAGAACTTCGTGTTGGCCGTCTTCTTTAGAGAAATCACCGCGGAATATATTATTGTGGACATTGTCGTAACGTGCAAATACGGTGGGTACGGTTATTAAAGGTACTTCAGTGCGACTTGTAAAAAATATAAATAAAATTAAGCAAGTCCCAGTTTTATATTTCACAAATATACTTAAAGAAATCCAAGTCAATAACCGATTGAGGCATAATCGAGTGCATCATCATTTTTAATTCACGCTTATTTTCATTATCCGGTAGTAAAGGCAAATATTGGAAGTCGCACATCGCTGATAGGAAAAAAACTCATAATCAAGTATAAATAATTGTGGCAGCTAGATCTCACATTCAAACGTAAAGCCTGTGTTTGTACAACCTAATATGTCAACTTTGTACTGCGGGGGCTTGGAACGGTCCTTCTTCGAGCGCCTAACTTTAATCGATAGCAAAAGTCCAGCTCGTTTATTAATTTCGCCGTACACAGATTTATTAAACGGATTTTCATAATGATATCGCAATTCCAGTCTTTTGGTGTCTCCTTCTAAAGCCTGAAAGGATAATTTGTTATATTAAAAAATATTTATATATTTTAGTTTGTTTTGGGGCTTTACTTGCGACACTTTCGTAACTCCACCCAAGGTACATAACATTTTATTTACATCTTTTACCAAACCGGGATATCGAATCACTGCGAATTCTGGTAAGCTAGCACCGCTTAATTGGATCGACATTTTTTTGCAGAGCAAAAGTTATGTTTAAAGCACAATGGGAGAGATGCTGATGCTGAAGCGGTAAAACACAATTAACCGTAATAACGTAACCCTATTTGTGAAAGTCGGGAGGTTAATTTACTGTAATGTTATTCTCTGTCTCTCTCACTCTCTCTATTACTTCTTACCATTTAACAGATGAGAGATGTTTTTTTATTCACCATTTTTCTTGTTTATTAAAAGCAACTCTGTGCTCTCTATTCACCGCACATAATACTTTTTTTATAAACTCTTCTTTGCATGTTTATTGTTATTTATTTGTTTACCAATCAGTTGGTCACTTGCACTTTTTATTCATTTAGCAAGATTTCAAGTTTCACGATGATAAAGCGTTATTATTCCTCAAAAGCAGTTAGAAAGTTTTATCCCCATACTCAAATAAAAATTTTCCGCAAGACCGATTACAATTCCGCAACGACGCTAGCAAATATACAAAATAGTAAGAATAACGCCTTTCCAAAGAGTGCAGAAAAAATATTAGAAACAAACGAAATACGAACGCTCAGAGATAAGGAACTGACCAACAATAATAACACAAAAAGCGGATCTCAAAACAATAAGAAGGATGCCAATACGTCCTCGGAATATTATGAGAATTTGGCGCGAATTCAAATGTTATCGACGAATTTACACAAACAATTATTTCCTCAAGCACCACGCTTTCAAGTAGACGTCGAAGAAGGAAAGAAATACAATCTCAACCTTAAACGGCATGGTATTGAAGTTGATTGCGTGGAGCGATTAAAGGATGTGAATATAAAATTGCCACCATTGAAGGGTAACAACATCGAACGCCATTTTTACCAAATAGGTAAAGACCAGGTGAAACCATATGAAGATTTACTTATTCCTTTGGTTCAATTAAAGCAATTGCCAGCAAAACCCGAACGTTGGATTTTAAAAGAAGGTTGGACTGTTTATGATACCACAACGAAGGAGCATCAGTCTATAAATTGGCCATTAGAAGACGGTTTAGTGCTAGATGTAGAGGTTTGTATATCAGAAGGCGCTATGCCTACTATAGCGACTGCCGTCAGTACTAAACACTGGTACTCTTGGGTTAGCCCGCGTTTGCTTGTTCCTCAACATGAAATTACAGCTAAACAGGAGTTTCCCCGTTATACCCTAGAAGACTTAATACCATTAGGAAAAAGAACACCAAAACTTATTGTAGGTCACAATGTTTCTTACGACCGCGCCCGACTTAGGGAACAATATCTAATAGAGGATACAGGAGTACGCTTTTTGGATACTATGTCTTTGCATATGTGTGTGAGTGGTGTTACCAGTTATCAACGTGCCTTGATGAAATCGAAGAAAGAACCTGCCGCTGAAGATGTCGAATGGTTGTCGCAAAGTTGCTTAAATAGTTTAGCAGATGTCCATAGCTTGTATTGCGGTGGTGCTCCTATATCGAAAGAGGAACGTAATATTTTTATAAGTGGCAATTTGGACGACATTCGTTTTAATTTTCAAAAGTTGATGAACTATTGTGCGCAAGATGTCGAAGCTACACAAAGTGTGCTCCATAATTTATATCCTCTATTTGCTGAAAGATTTCCACATCCTGTTACTTTGGCTGGTATGTTGGAAATTAGTTCAGCTTACTTACCAGTCAATAAAAATTGGTGGCGCTACATAAGCGAATCAGACTTGACTTACGAAGATCTCAATATAGAAGCTAAATATCATTTGGCTCGAAGAGCAGATGAAGCATGTTCGTTAATGAAAAATGAACAGTACAAAAATAATTTATGGCTTTGGGATGAAGATTGGAGTACACAAGAGCTAAAGCTAAAAAAGGTCAAATCTATTACTAAAAAAAAGCCTGTCGACAATAATTTAAAGGAAACAGATTATATTTTGGATCTGCCCTCAACAGAAGAGGAGGAATATTTGTGTAGAAAATTTAAATATTTACATGACACGAGATTCCATTTGCCCGTTAAACGACCTTTACTACCCGGATACCCTGCCTGGTATCGGAAATTATGTCAAAAGATCCCTAAGGATTTAAACAGGCTATCGGAATGGTCACCGGGCCCCTCAGAAATAAGCACAGGTATGCAGATAGCTCCTAAGCTGCTTTCTCTATGTTGGGAAGGCTACCCTTTACATTATTCTCGTGAACATGGTTGGGGATTTCTAGTACCATTTCGTGTGCGGTCGTCCAATGAAGAAAACCTCTCTTTGCCTCATGTACCCATTGAAGAACTGGTTAAACGGTGTCCGATCCCGAAGTTTCTACAGGATCATGCTACTAAAAATGAAACCGAATATGCTTTTGGAATTTTGAATAAAGAGCTGAATGCAAACTTAGGAAAACGTGAGTTCTACGCTAAAGCCGCCAAAAAGGATGGCACTAATGGTCTTTATAAAGGATCGGGAGTATGGTGCGGCAAAATATTGGACGATTGTTGTTTTTTTCTAAAACTACCCCATAAAAATGGAAAGTCTCTACGAGTAGGGAATCCATTATCACGAGATTTTCTTAACAAATTCTCCGAAAACGTTTTAAGCTCTGGAGAAGATGAAAACACTGCAGCCGCAAGAGTCATCTCTATAGCTCGTATGATGTCCTATTGGCGAAACAATCGTGATCGAATAATCAGTCAGTTGGTTGTGTGGTTAACACCAGATCAGTTATCTCCTCAAGTGCAATGCGAGCAGAATTATCAATATGGTGCCATTTGTCCTCAGGTTGTCGTTTGTGGGACTTTAACGCGTCGCGCGATGGAGCCTACTTGGTTGACCGCTTCCAACTCTAAGGTGGAACGTATCGGTTCGGAATTGCGAGCTATGGTGCAGGCGCCACCCGGTTATCGTATAGTTGGTGCAGATGTTGATTCTCAAGAATTATGGATCGCTTCAGTTTTGGGTGATGCTTACGCCCATGGTGTGCATGGATCCACTCCATTTGGTTGGATGACTTTGAGTGGTACAAAAACCAATGGAACCGACATGCATTCAATAACTGCAAAGGCCGTGGGAATATCGAGAGATCATGCCAAAGTTATTAACTATGCTCGTATATACGGAGCCGGGCAAAATTTTGCGGAGGGTTTGCTTAAACAATTCAATCCTACGTTTTCCGGAACGGAGGCACGAAACAAGGCCATGAAAATGTTTTCTTTAACGAAAGGTAAAAAAGTCTATAAATTGAAGAAAGATTACCAACAGGAATATGGAAATAGGAGGTAAACTTTGAGGAACTTCTATATATTGCTCTCACAAGCAAAATTATAAAATGCCAAAAAATAATTTTCAGCTATTCCAGTTACGAAGCATTAAAGTTGGCTTCCTGTCAAAATCGTAGCGTCAATGAGATGTTCCTGCGGGCTTGCTGGGAAGGTGGCACGGAGAGCGCTATGTTTAATCGTTTAGAGGAGATCGCTACAGGAGAAGAACCGGTTACACCATTTTTACAGTGCCGTCTCAGCCGCGCATTAGAAACTTACAACACAGATGAATATCGGTTTTTGCCCACACGTATTAACTGGGTGGTGCAAAGCGGGGCTGTTGATTTTCTGCATTTGATGCTCGTGTCCATGCGTTGGTTATTAGGCACAAAAGCCCGATTTTGCTTAAGTTTTCACGACGAAATACGTTATTTGGTAAAAGAGGAGGATGCTTATACTGCTGCACTAGCCATGCATGTAACAAATCTGCTTACACGATCATTTTGTTGTTCACGCTTGGGACTAAATGATCTGCCAATGTCTGTGGCATTCTTTTCCTCGGTAGAAGTAGATACAGTACTGCGAAAAGAAAGCTCTATGGACTGTAAAACGCCCTCAAATCCGCACGGATTACACATTGGTTACGGCATAGCGCCCGGCGAGAGTTTGAACATATATGAGGCCATCAGGAAGGCGAATTGCAATGACTTATCTCACTGGAAATTGGTTTAAAATCAATGAGTAATTAGTTTTAGTTTTCAGTTGATTACTCTTTATGCGTAGGGATAATTAAAGGGGAAGTCTTTTTATATAATTTTTACTAAAATATTTATGTGTTTCTCACCTTTGCAAATATATTAGGTCGAGTCGTAACTAACTTCCGATACAACCAGGTAAAAATCTATTATTCTTATTTACTCACAACCAGTCTTCGATACAAAACGAGTTTTTGTTTTCACTATATGGATGACGATTCAGTTCAACTGCTTTTGTGGTGCATGTTACATTCAACTGTTTTTCTTAATCTCTGAAAAGCGGGGAGAAAAAGGTGCATATTCGACATACGTAATGCTTTGAGAATTTAAACAAAGGCAACAATGCTAAGCCGGCTATTAAAAAATATGCAGCGTATACGGTAAAGAACTGATGACTGATCGGGCGGTTAGTACAATATGGATTTCTACAAAGTGGAAGGCATCTACCATATTATAAGAGCATCTCCTGTATTTCTTAAGGTGTTATAGACATAGCTGCCGATGGCCAACATTGCTACTGTTATAGCCAATCTTTTGATCTGTTTGATTTATAGATATGACTTAAACATATAAGTACCAAATTTTGATTTTTTTTTTAACTTTTGCAATTCCAAGGAAAAGGCTTTGTCTAGACATCGGTGCAGGCCAGCCTTACCTATACGATAAGGGGAATAGGATGTAAATACATGGATATCTATTACACGCGTCTAAAATTAGTCGCATTTTTACCTTTCAGTGGTTAGAATCAATATGAAAATTGTCATTCATATCCGTACTGTTCGTAGCGTTCTCCAAAATAATTTTGAACATGACCATATAATTATTAAACATGCTTTTATTACTGAATATACGCAAGGAAAAAATAACGAAAAAAATATCGACTATATTTAAAAGATTGAATGCCAGCACTACCATACGATATTTACTGTTTTTTGCTGACATTTTTTTCACCTTTCATATTTATTGGTAATTAATGTTTTAATGGAAAAATCGGTGTTATTATGATAATATTAATATTTTTCAATATTCAGTAGCTTTACTTTTATTATGCATAAAGTTTTTTTACGACATTATTGAATACTCTTTTTCACCTGTTCGATAAGAAAACTTCTCTAATAATTGACATTTTCACATCTTTAGTACGTTAATATCGTATAACAAATTTTTTCACTTTTCAATAATTAACATAATTAAACAGAAATACAACAAAAATTTCAGAATAGTTTCGTTATATATTAATATACTTTCATTCGTTTCCGAATACCCCAGACAAAAGGAATTATTGTGAAAAATATGGCAGAGACGATGAGGACATTAATGTAAAGCTCTTGCGTGCAAATGGTCCGCGAGAGAAATTAAAAGTGTTGTGGTTTTTCACATAGCGTTAAGTTGTGTATATGCCTTCATGTACGTATGTTGACACATCAAACTTGGCCAAACATTAACTTGAGAGAATTATCAAAATACGCAAAGACCTTGATGCAATATGCAAAATTATTCTACAAAAACTAAGGAAATGTTTATCGTGCGCGCTCTAGAGAAAATCCTTGCAGATAAGGATATAAAACGTTCCCAGAATTCACAACTGAAAAAGTCATGCGACACAGCCTTAGAACAAATCAAAGCCGAATTAATTAGTGCAGGCCAAATAACGGAAGGCAATGAGTTGCCGTGCTCTGCTCTGCCATTACCGAAAAATGATACGGCTAGTATTATAAATGCAGAAACTTACTTTCTTCCGTTTGAACTGGCATGCAAAAGTCGTTCCCCGAGAATAGTGGTGACTGCTTTGGATTGTTTAGAGAAATTAATAGCATATGGACATTTAACGGGCGCCATACAAGACTCCGCCAGTCCAGGACATTTGTTAATCGATCGAATTGTCAACACCATATGCGGATGTTTCAACGGACCACAAACTGACGAATGCGTTCAATTGCAAATAATAAAAGCTCTCCTTACTGTAGTTACTTCACAACATGTGGAGATACACGAAGGCACTGTTTTGCAGGCTGTACGCACCTGCTACGACATCTACTTGTCTAGTAAAAATTTAGTTAACCAAACTACCGCGTGTGCCACGTTAACACAAATGCTAGACGTAATTTTTTCACGTATGGAAAATCAAATATACGAGGTTGCAGCGCAGTCAGTGAGAGGTACAAGCAATGGCCATTTGTATTCGAATACATCGCAAGCTTCAGAAGCCAGCATCAGCGTAAAGAGTAGCAATGGTGTTGAGGCAGAAGAAACACCAGAATTCATAGCTTCTACGGTAGTAGAGGAAATAATAAACGGTAAATAAATAAAGGTCAGTTTTTTTAGCGTATATTTCATAGATATTTTGTTTTGGATCTTAGCTGCTATTACGGAAATCTTGAAGGAAGCTTCGGTGCAGTATAGAATGAATGGTGACATTCAAACCGTTGACATTAACCACGATACCAGCTTTAATAACGCTGAAAGTCATAATTCGTCCGCCGACAGTTCTCATTTAGCACCTTCCGAAGAAAGTGTCGAAGTTCACAGTGAAAATGATGCAGTAGTTACGGCTAAATTTACACATGTTTTGCAAAAAGACGCGTTTTTAGTTTTCCGAGCTTTATGTAAGCTTTCAATGAAACCTTTACCCGATGGGCATCCTGATCCTAAATCGCATGAATTGCGATCTAAAGTTCTGTCGCTGCGCTTGCTTCTATCAATTTTACAAAATGCGGGTCCAGTATTCCGTTCGAATGAAATGTTTATCATGGCTATCAAGCAATACCTTTGTGTGGCCTTGTCTAAGAACGGAGTCAGCTTAGTTCCGGAAGTGTTTGAGTTGTCATTGTCTATATTTGTCGCTTTGCTGTCGAATTTTAAAACTCACTTAAAAAAGCAAATTGAAGTTTTTTTCAAAGAAATATTCCTTAACATTTTAGAAGCTACTTCAAGCTCTTTTGAGCATAAGTGGATGGTTATTCAAGCCTTGACACGTATCTGCGCCGATGCTCAGTCGGTAGTCGATATCTATGTCAATTACGATTGTGACTTTCAAGCAGCCAATTTGTTTGAACGTCTCGTTAACGATTTGTCGAAAATAGCTCAAGGTCGTCAAGCTGTGGAATTGGGCGCTAATCCTATTGAAGAGAAATCAATGCGTATACGTGGACTTGAGTGTTTAGTTTCCATATTAAAATGTATGGTGGAGTGGAGCCAAGATCTCTACGTCAATCCTAATATGCCTTCGTTGAGTGCTCATGAAGGAGCGGTTAGTCTTAAACATTCTCACAATTCCGAGTTACAATCACCGGCTGCCGACAACACTGATGACTTGTCGCAATCCAACACTATTGGCACAAGATCAGGCCATGGTTCAAGTCATAGCCTAAATTCGTATGGTAGTGCAAAGAACAATGAACTTTTGGATCTGCCCGAAGCCTTAGAAGAACGTAAAATGCGTAAAGAAGTCATGGAAGCAGGTATAGATATTTTTAATCGCAAACCCAAAAAGGGTGTACAATTCTTACAAGAAAAGCAGCTCTTAGGCTCCTTACCGAAGGATATAGCTAAATGGCTGCATGAAGATGAACGGCTAGACAAAACCGTAATTGGTAACTATATAGGTGAAAACGACGATCACTCTAAGGAAGTAATGTGTGCCTATGTCGACGCTTTCGATTTTCGTAATTTGGAAGTTGTGGCCGCATTGCGAATGCTTTTAGAAGAGTTCAGATTGCCAGGTGAGGCTCAAAAAATCGATCGTTTGATGGAGAAGTTTGCCAGTCGTTATTGTGAATGCAATCCCAATAATTCACTCTTTCAAAGTGCTGATACAGTGTACGTGTTGGCTTTTTCTATTATTATGCTAACCACGGATTTGCATTCCCCGCAAGTAAAGAACAAAATGACCAAAGAACAGTATATTAAGCTTAATCAAGGTATAAGTGATAGCAAAGATGATTTGCCGGTGGAATACTTATCGGCGATATATGATGAAATAGCAGGTCATGAAATCAAAATGAAGAATACGGTAATCAACAAACCGGGAAAACAGATCATAGCCAACGAGAAACGTCGTAAATTATTGTGGAATATGGAAATGGAAGCTATCTCCACGGCTGCGAAAAATTTAATGGAATCAGTATCTCATGTTAAATCTCCGTTCACTTCTGCAAAACATTTAGAGCACGTGCGTCCTATGTTTAAAATGGCATGGACACCATTTTTGGCTGCTTTTTCGGTGGGCTTGCAGGATTGCGATGATCCCGAAATTGCCTGTCTCTGTTTAGATGGAATACGTTGTGCCATACGTATAGCTTGTATATTTCACATGACATTGGAACGAGACGCTTACGTACAGGCCTTGGCCCGTTTTACTCTATTGACAGCTAATTCACCAATTAACGAAATGAAGGCGAAAAATATTGACACTATTAAAACCCTGATAATGGTAGCGCATACAGATGGTAATTATTTAGGTACTAGTTGGCTGGATATTGTCAAATGCATAAGCCAATTGGAATTAGCTCAGCTGATTGGCACAGGAGTAAGGCCTAAATTTTTGTCAGGAGCTCAGACTACTCTAAAAGATTCTCTGAATCCTAGTGTGAAGGAGCACATTGGTCAAACGAGTAGTCAAAGCGTGGTGGTTGCCGTAGATCGAATTTTTACTGGTTCGATACGCTTAGACGGTGATGCAATTGTGGATTTCGTTAAAGCTCTCTGTCAGGTGAGGAGATCAAAAAGAGAAAAAAAAAAAAAAGAAGTGATTTTGATGCAACAAACCGCCTTAAAAATGCGCTTAACACCAAATTTGGATAAGACGCACTTCAAGTAAATTTAATGTTTTGTTATTTCCAGGTATCTGTAGAAGAGTTATTAAATCAGCAACCACGGATGTTCTCTTTGCAAAAGATTGTTGAAATTTCCTATTACAATATGGAACGTATCCGTTTGCAATGGTCCCGCATTTGGCAGGTGTTGGGCGAACATTTCAACACAGTCGGCTGCAATAGTAACGAGGAAATTGCGTTTTTTGCTTTGGATTCCTTGAGACAGCTGTCTATGAAATTTATGGAGAAAGGAGAGTTCGCTAACTTTCGTTTTCAAAAAGATTTTTTACGGCCGTTCGAACACATTATGAAAAAGAATCAATCGTCAGCAATACGTGACATGGTGGTGCGATGCATAGCCCAAATGGTTAACTCACAAGCTCATAATATTAAATCAGGTTGGAAAAACATATTTTCAATATTTCATTTAGCGGCCGGTGATCATGAAGAAGCCATAGTTGAGTTAGCTTTTCAGACAACGGGCAAAATAATTGGTGAACTTTATCAAAAACAATTTGCTGTAATGGTAGATTCATTTCAGGACGCTGTTAAGTGTCTATCTGAATTCGCTTGCAATGCTCGCTTTCCCGACACTAGCATGGAAGCCATTCGCTTAGTGCGCACTTGCGCTTTATGTGTTCACGATTCACCACAATTATTTGCTGAACATGCTGGTATGGAGAACGATATCTCGGTGGCTGAAGAAGACCGCGTTTGGGTACGTGGGTGGTTTCCTATGTTATTCTCACTTTCCTGTGTAGTCAATCGTTGTAAATTGGACGTTAGAACACGTGGTCTTACTGTTCTCTTTGAAATTGTTAAAACTCATGGCGATAGTTTTAAACCGAATTGGTGGAAAGACTTATTTAATGTGATATTCCGGATATTTGATAATATGAAATTGCCGGAACATGTTACTGAGAAATCCGAGTGGATGACGACCACCTGCAATCATGCTCTTTATGCCATTATCGATGTTTTTACGCAATATTTCGATATGTTAGGACATTTGCTACTCGAAGATCTATTTGCTCAACTGCACTGGTGTGTCCAACAAAATAATGAACAATTAGCACGATCTGGAACCAATTGTTTAGAGAACTTGGTTATATCGAATGGTTTCAAATTTAATGAAGCAACTTGGGATAAGACTTGTGAGTGCATATTAGATATATTCAATGCGACGTTACCTTCAGATTTAATGTCGTGGAGGCCAAATCCGCAACAACAACAACAGCATCAACAATTACAAATGCAATATCAAACACAACCGCAGCAGCAATTGCAGCATGCCGCCATATATAATCAAGCTCCGAGTACTACTTTGACAAGTCGAAAACATCCTCATTCGCAGAAGGATATGGTAATTAAGCGCAGTCAGTCACAACATTCGGTTTACAATAATAATAGTTGTAATTTTGGAGAAGAAGATGGCACGTCATTTATGCACGCTCATCCCGCTTCTACTACTGTACTGCCGCAAAATTACGCTCTCTTTGAAAGTCTTAATATTAAGTGTGTGGTACAATTAGAATTAATACAAACCGTCGACAACATAATTTTCTTTCCGGCTACATCACGGAAAGAAGATGCCGAAACGTTAGCTCAGGCAGCTGCCGATCTAACTGGTTGTAGTGCTGCACACCCCCTTCTTGACTGTCAGCAAGAAGAACAAGGTATGTATAGCTATTTGCGCACCCGCCAGTTATTTATTTTGGCCGATTGCCTAATGCAATCGCATCGTTTCGCTAAACGCTTTAATGCCAATCAAGAGCAGCGTAACGTATTGTGGCGAGCGGGCTTTAAGGGCTCGATTAGACCAAATTTGTTGAAGCAAGAGACTGCATCGTTGGCGTGTGTGTTAAGAATTTTCTTTAAAATGTATGGCGATGAGAACAGACGCAGCGATTGGCCGGGCATAGAACAAGAATTAGTAAAAGTGTGCAAAGAAGCCCTGACTTACTTTTTGAGCCTGCAACATGAAGCGCATCGTGATGCTTGGACATCGTTGCTGCTCCTAATATTAACGAGATTACTTAAAATGTCCGATGCAAGGGTAAGTGAATGAACGCCTTACGCTTACAAATACATAAATGCCGCTTAGAACGAATATATTTTAGAATAACGACGACGATTCAGTCAACATTACGTCATTGCGATGTGTTAGATTTCTCAGCTTTCCGTTCATTCCCGAAAAGCGAAAAAGAACGAGTTAACCATGTCCGTCCCTGCATATAACGTTTGTCCGTGCGAAACCACCATTATATTCACAAAACCTTCTCTACAAGAATAAAAAAAGTCAAATATATTCTTAACACTTTCGTCAGATCATATTCAACATATTGCCAGAAACTCTAATCTCTATCCCATTTTTTGTATAAACTATCAAAATTTTTGTATAAAGCATCAAAATTTTGTTTACATCTTTAAATTTATTCATCGGGCTGTTTACTGGGCTGTAGTTTAAATAAACCGACTGATCGAATTTGTCTTCGTTCTATCTAGCATTCACAAGGTGTACAAAGCTAGTGAAGGCTATTAAATAATTCGGTTCGATTCGAATATAACTTTGTGTGTTTTACATGTATTTTTTTTTTTTTTTATTATATACTTTTTGCAGTTTGCCACTCATATCTCTAATTATTATGCTTTACTGTGTGAAATCATGTGCTTTGACTTGAAGCCAGAATTACGAAGTGTCCTTAGACGTGTTTTTCTCCGCATCGGTCCAGTTTTTAATATATTAAATGTTAAATAGTGTTATTGGAATAGAAGGTCGTTAATTCATAAATGGGAGAAATTCGAGTAACCGTAACGAAGCATTATAGCGGGCAACATTAAGATAAATTGAAAACATTGTTTAATTAATATTATATTATGAAAAAAATTGAAATTAAAATTAAAAAAAAAAATATATATATATATATATATATATTTATTTAAACTTATACATTCAATAGTAACGATGAACATGTACATGTGTAAAACTTATAAATTGCTATATACATATTATTATATATACCTATATATTGATCTATTAATAGATATATATTAATCTAAAATGTTAAGAATACAAAAACTTTATATTCGGAATAATGATTTATTACCATAAAAGTCACAGTGCTATACAAACTAGAATGCTTTTTGTTAATTTCGTACTCGTTCTTATTTCCTTTCTAAGATGCAATATTCAAAATATTCAAGCATTTATCTCAGTTTAGATTGAATTTGTAATGTCTGTCTGTCTGTGGGTCGTTTTTTTTTTATTTTTTTTTTTGAATTTCTCAATCCTTGGTAAGATGCAAAAATATATATTGAAGCATTTATTAGTTTCGATTGAATTTATAACGCTTGCTCGTCGTTTCTTTTTTTTTGAAATTCCCCAAGTCCCAAAAATTGGGGCAAAGGGAGTACAGAGTGATTAAAATAGATGATCAATCTGAAAAAAGTAATTTACCAACTATTTTTCAAAATGAATGTCTCGGTCAATCAGCAAAATGAGATGGCGGGTACCTAAAATTCGCCAAAAGGCGAATATAGATTACTTGTTATATATGTATTAATGTAGATGCATAGTGGTGGTTTGCTTTTTTTCTTTTTTCAGCCTGCTGACTGCATCATTGTTACCCGCTATTCTATGTATAGAAGTAACTTTATGCTTTTATGGCTTAGTTCATTTTTCTTTCTTTCCTACTATCATGCAATTGCGCAATTCATTGTATGAATATTAACTATATCCTATCCTTTTTCGACACTTGATACATTCTCTATAACCATTATCATCCAGAGAGTGCAATTTTGGTATTGTTTTTCGAATCTTTTTAAATCGTTGAAGTTTTTAATTAAGGTAATATTTTTAAAAGTAAAATTCGTGGTTGATCAAAAACGGCTATATATTAGAACGTTTGTACTGAATGTCCAAAGTAAAAAATAAATTAAAAGTAAAACTTATAATTGAGTTTATATTACAAGCACGCTTTTCATTGAAATGAACAGTGGCCTTTAGAAATGATCCTAATTGCAATTATTAATATTTCCTCAGGCATGAACACAAATCGCTTGATCAAATGTCTTGCAATTTCCAAACAAAAAATGCTCAGACGACAGAAGTGATGGTTACTTAAATCTTCTGGGTTATCTTAAAAACTATAAATTTTTTACTGGTAAATAGGGGATCGTTAACGTATACAACAAACAGACAAGATCCTAAGAGACTGCTAATGAGCAAAAGTTTAGCAATACCTTTACAAGTCTCCAAGAACTTGTCGATTAGTAGTTTTAGAAGACAACAGGTAAGAAACCTGCCTATTTCGAGGAAAGAAGCGGAATGCAATAGTGCGGTGAAGTTCCACCGCATAATTGTTAAGACTATAACGAGGAAGTTCATTTAGACTTGACACACAACTGTACCTTAACAGCTCGCCGTCAGAAGCATTTATTGTAAAAAAAATTTATTTTGTCAAATAGATATGTATGGGGGGATGTAAAACCCGTCATAAGAGGATCAAGAGTTTCTGCAACGAATCAAACCACGATATGCCTCACAGGCGCATACACAAAAAAATATCTCTTATCTTGGACGGGATGTACCCAACCGACCCAAAATTTGGTACACGGAGGGCGTTGAGGAACTGTGCATAAAAATTTCGGAGCAGTAACCGCAGTATAATATTTGATAAGCTCTTTAAGAGCGATGAAACAAAATTCAGTATGTGAAAATAAAAAAACCTTCAAAAGATAAGAAAAAGTTCAATTGTTAATGCAACCTCTGCATAAACTTTGTTGCAGTGCAAAGCTAACAAAGAAATGGTCAATGTCTTTGTAAGTTCGCCTTGGATAATTTAATAGAATAAATTCCATCTAAAGTAAATGCTTGAAATAAGATTCGCGGTTGACTTGGGGGAATTCTTTGGAATAAGATGAAGGAATAACAAAGCTGAGGCTTTCACAAAAAGAGGACAGAAGAGCGGTGAAATCAGTCTGGCTAGCTATGATTATGCTATCACCTAAACGTGTAAACCGTTGGTGGTCAGAAAGAAGTATGAAAAGAGAAAGAGATAGGGAGTGTGCAAAGTCTTCAAAAAATGCGCTCACTCACTACATTTACAATCAAACCGAAGTGAGATATGAATCCGGAAACTTCAACTTGGTATTCGCGTTTTTTATCTACTCGGCCATACAGCAGGCATATCCGTAAATTGTATGGAAATGTTGAGAAAAACATGATGAGAATCTTTAAGGCGAGGAACACCGATCAGATCTGCGATGTTAATATTAATATTTTCAGTGTTATTGTGGACTTAAGAGTTTGGGTCAAATATTACCTCAAGGAATTTCGAAACATCTTCGAAGAAGAAGGAAGAGGAGGAAAGCCAAGCCTATCAGTGGAAGAAGAGATAAAAATAAGTACCAGCCGCGTAGAAAAAGATGAAAAGAAATGTTTACGGTGTGCTAGCAGAAGATACACGAAATGAACAATTGTGGAGATTCCGTGTGGAGTTATTTAAAATGGGGCTTTGCAAAATAATAAATAAAAAAATTTTCTCAAGAAAAGGGAGAAGTGTTTGAGGGCAAATACAATCTCAGATAATTGAGACTATTTTGCACTGGCGTGAGCCATGAGGAATAAACAGAAAGACGTAAGGTAGAATATAAATTGAACGATTGTCTCATCAAAGAGGGTATACGAAAAATATCTAAAAAAAAAATATCTTGTGAAGGACTGCAAGGAACGTAATTGAGTTGAAAATTAATTTGTATTTTGAATATCGGTAAACAAGGCATTCGCACTAAAACGAGACACAAAGACAACTATCTTGCTTTCATCAGAAAAATTGCAAAGAAATTCAATGGCCATTCGCTTGCTTACCACGAAGATTTGCTTAAGCATTCTTTCGTCTCTCCGTTGAAGCTCACAAGGTTATGGAGTTGAGAAGAAAAGTCGAAATTTTCAAAAATCTTTAACGAGCTGCGCGCATCATATCATACAGATAAGATTAAAACGCTTTAAAAAAAAAATAAAAACAAAGTTTACTAACACAATATATACACAAATACAAAGTCATTTGCACACCACGCATAATAAGCTATGCACTGTACGCGCTGTAGTTTGCGAGCAATTGGCAAAAGAACAATTCTTTTTCTCTCTTTGAAAGACAAAGGTGTTCTCAATTGGCGTAGCACTGCGTAGACCTGCCTTTTGACCGATTTGATCCATTTCCAACATCAACTTGCTTGCGCGGAATTTCCAATGATTCCGCTTAATTTGAAGGCTTGATAGCTGCATGTTTACAGCAGACATTAAACAGACGGATGGACGGCCATGCTTACAATAATTCACAATTTAATCCTGAAACTCTGAAGCTTCCTTCTGCTTATGTTGCAAACGTTTTAATAAAACGAATATACCCCTCGTCCTGCGGCGACGGGCATAATATTAAGATCGGAGTTTATTATTAATAGAATATATACATAAGTACACAGGCACTTGCACACGCATAATCATAAACTGTCTGTGCTGTCTATTTCTTTAAAAGGTCTAAAATCATATATACACGCATGGTGGGCACTTAATGTCAACCTTATTGAGTGAGAGAAAGAGAATAATTTTTATTAATTCAATAATCCGCGAGACTTTGACTATGCTATTCTTTTCCATGCCATACCGTAAAATAAAATAATTTTGCTGCATGTTTTCATACAGTGAACATTAAACTTTTCAATTGTTTTTAATTAATTGCGTCCAAACGTTAATTAAATTATTGCTTGCTATTAATGTCTGTCGCTTTGTTAAATTAAACAATCAAAATGTTAGTTCTCAGGCGCTTTTACGGTATTCGTATTCGTATTCGTATTATTATTATTTTTAATTTTTTTTTTCCAATGAAGCGCGGTATTCAGGCGCAGTTAAACACTTTGCAATTGTTTGCAAACAATCACATTTTGATTTTAATTAAATTATATAAATTGCTTTAAATTTCTGAAGAGGAATGAATATATAACAGAATTATTATCATATGATAGAATTAATTTGAAATATTTTTTCCACTGGTCACAACCCTTTTTCAAATACTTACTTAGAACTGAGTGACAATGCTTTGCATTTATAAAAACCTCTCTATATACAACAATAGTTTACCTGAAACTATAATACACGAAAATTATTCAGTTTCGCGTGATCCACGATAATGCAAAACTGATTTATAGAATTTTTAAATATATACTTGATTTAAAATTTTTATATCCACGCCCGGACGATGAGGAGGTCTATTCATTTTGTCAAACGGTTTACAAAGCCTACAAGGAAGCCTCGGAGACCTCTACAAAGTATATATTTACTTGATCAGTATCAAATTGTAAACCGATATAAACATGTTCGTTGTCCGTCCGGCTTACCGTAGAATGTCTGTTGTAAACGTTTTTCTAGTCGCAAAAATGCAGCAATCGGCACAAAGGTTGGTAGTTCATATCTATGAATTGATATTTGGATTGTGCTAAATCGGTCCAAGGGAACAGCTGCCCCACGAAAAAATCTAAGAACACCTCTGTTCCGCTTGTTTATACAAGCGAAAACACCAGATACCACCTTATAGTTATTTATGTTACGACAATCCAAAATAAGGCTTCATATGGGCAGCAGTGAAAAAAGTGATCAGATCCGAATCTTCGGCCTTGGCCCAAAACACGTCGATGTACAAAATTTTATCAAAATATTTAAAAAAATTTGCTTCTTGTAGATTCAAATCAAGAAAACAAGACAGACAGCCAGAAAGACGGATGAATAGACAAAGTTAGTGTCGATCGATCCTTCCGTTGCATACATCAATTTGATATACCTTTGTACCACAACTAGCGTAGGGTATAGAAAAAATTAGGCACAACACATACAACGATAAAAGGTTTGCATTTATATACCATGGGTCGTCCTGCAGCACCTGTACCAAAATGGCCTACTCGATATTATTATAGAATATTGAAATTTGAATCTTTTAGCAAAAAGTTTGCAGCATCTATAAATGACATTCAGAGAAATTGTTCTAGAAATGATTGTCAGTCCCTATCACCATCTGTGGTAAACGTACTCATAAAAGCAAAAATGGAGACCTCTTTAAAGCGCAGATTGATAATGAAAATCGGCCATGTTGGTAGAACATACAACACCGTATAGGGCAAATCCTTTTACCAATTAAATACGTCTTGGCTTTTTTGGGTTTCTGGCCCTTAACCTACGCCATCCGTCCGGCATAAATTTTCACTTTTATTCTACAAAAATAGAAAAACTAGTTCGAGCCCTCGCAACGTTATAGAACAGAGAAAGTTTTTGCCTTTTTTTAATCCTTTATAACCGACACCAATTGCGGCAAAAGGGTACAAAAGACTTGTGCGTCATATATGCAACACACAGAAGGACTTGAGACTTATCTTTTATTACGTCAATCGATTCGGAATCATCTTTTGTGATTCGATTTGACCTTTTTTGTCCATCCGTCCGCGCTGTTTCCTTTTTCCTAAGCTCAGATGTTTTAACGAAACTTTGTGCACTAGCCAGAGGGCGAACACTGTTGAAAATGATTCGGATCGAACCACTTCTTCGATCGTCATTTCCCATATGACGTTTCATTTTAAAACACACACATTTGTTACTCATAGGATCTTCTGAGTATTGGCCAGCATACTCATAGAGGGGAGAATGAAGCGCATTTCTGCACTAGCAAGGCACTTTTGAAATGTAATTTTTGGACATTTATTGGAAATGTATGCATCAAATTTTTCTTTTAGCCTTTCAGCCTTCTATGCAAGTTAGTTATTTATTTTTTCGATCACATTGAAATTTTTTACATCAAATAAGCTAAAGACAATCAAGAATTTGCATTCAATTGGAAACGAGTTTTCATACACATTTACCAAAAATTTTGATATACTATTTACGGGATTTCTGGATAGAATGCAGGTCCATTCGCATATTGTATTGTACATATCGTATGTAAGTTCAGATTTTTATATTTCATCGGTAAATTAAAAACCATTTTAGTATTCCTCGTCATGTTCCTCAAATTTTTGGCATTCATTTTTTGGTTAAGCTATCAAGTTAGGGGAAAGAGTAAAGTCCAGTTAAAGTTGTGAACCAAATAATCTAAGATTTCGATGACACAGTTTATGTTTATGAAAAGGGGAAAATTAGTGTTATTGTTGGAATTTATTGGTTTTCTATCACGATAAGAAAAAACATGAAAACCAAGTAAAGTTTTGAGATCATAATCATGATATAAACTAAGCAAACAGATATTGTCAATCGCTGCAGAGGCGTACAACATTTTTTTGCAAACATCTGAAAAATATAACATAGTACAAGCACGTAGCGGCGTTTATAAAAAATATGTCGAATAACAAAGTTTGCTTTTATTTTTATTTTTTTTACCAATCTGCACATGTCAACTTTTTGCCTAAAGTCATCCGTATCTGCATTATATATATATATATATATATAATTTAAAGTGCTCTGCATACAAATTCTTCTAAAATGATTAAAAGTTCTCTACATGATCTTCATATTACATGGCGTATCGTACGAATACGATCGTAAAATCTTATTGATAGCATTAAGCACGGTCTTCACATAAAAAGGAGGATAATCTCTTCCACTAAACTGAAAATTAATGCAAACATATCGTTATACGCCTATAAATGCGGTAAGCGTTCTTCGATTTCCACCATTGCTACCCTAGTTTGCAGCATAGGCAATACTAAGATCAGTAAAATTAGAGATGAGAGGGAACTTTTTACTTTAGTTACTACAGAGATGACATACCGAATCTACATTTTTTTCTGTAAAGAATTTAGGCAAGTTAACACGTACCCATTGCTAATTGTTATGGGAAACATTTGAATTTGTAAAAATATTTCATTAAATTAACACGTAAGAGAATAATAGGTTTTTGGCGCCTTAAGAAATGGCGGGAATTAGAAGAAATTTCTTTCTTAATATTAAAGGTAGTAGGGGGAAGGAGCGGAGGGCGGGGATTAAGGCAAACGAATTGATTTTTATATCGCATCAATACAGAACGTATTCGCTTCACGGGTATATCCGCAAAAGTAGCCGAATGGAAGGAATCGCACCTACCAGTCAAGTCAGGCTTCGCAATTTCAAATCTCAGTACAATCGAGTTTACTTTGAGCGAAGCTATAGTAAATGCTCAGTCCGTAAAAGCGTGACACTTATCGGTCGAGCACACACCCACTCGGCTACGACCGTCTCACTATCTTTTTAACCTTCTTTACTTCTTTCTGATCATCATCGTTTTCGCAATTTCAAATCTCAGTACAATCGAGTTTACTTTGGGCGAAGCTATAGTAAATGCTCAGTCCGTAAAGGCATGACACTTACCGATCGAGCACACACCCACTCGGCTACGACCGTCTCATTATCTTTTTAACCTTCTTTACTTCTTTCTGATCATCATCGTTTTACGCACATAAGGGACATTCTCTGAGTGATCGATCATATCGAAAATATATAAAAAAAATTTCCGGATGTTGAAAGTTAATATATATTTGTAAATAATATTTATAGCTGCACTTCTCAGTTTCATTTTATTTCGGTAATAGTTGACCGATGTATCACCACATGACACAGCCATCATCTCTAATGTTCGACTTTGAAATTTTTGAACGTTTCGAACCAAATTTCTCGTGTTGCTCATATATTGCGTTTTGCTGGTCGATAATGGCGAGGAAAATCCGTATTGTCCTGGAAAGTGTTAAGGCGGCTCTGCTTCGTCCAAAAGAAGAATTTATAGTTGATTTGTTGATCTTGAATGAAATCGGCCGGATACTGATGCTCTTCAACGCAGTGAACGCCCACAATAGAAAATTACGCCATAAATTGTCGAAAAAAATGATGAAAATTATTTTCCCTAGATGAAAAATGAAATCACAGAAGATGGCTTACATATCACAAGTACCAAGAAGCAGTGTATGCGCTAGTTTCCGTGAGGATATGGACACGAAGAAGTTGGTTCTTAAATGGGAAGCGCGTTGACTCACGCAGGAAGAAAAACACTGTGTCGAAAGTCGATGGCTGCAATGGCAAAATTTGCATGAATTAAAGTTCGCATTGCTGTCATACCCACTGCATTCTGCAGTTGTGGCTCCCGACGGCTATTATATGTTTGGAAATTTCAAAAGGATGAAAATTATGATAAAGTTATTGTCTGAAAATCGAACTATAGAAAGCCCCGTCGACCTGACTGAAGGAGATTGTGTTGATGAATAAAGTGAAATTTGGACGCTACCTCGGTTTATCTAGAAACTGAGACCAAAACTAAATTAAAATTAAACTTCAAAGTAGAATTGATGCAAAGAGCGCCTTGCGCTATAGATGAAATACATGGAAACAATTACATAATGTTAGCATTGTAAAAAGAAAAAGGAAAAAAATTGTTGTTTTCCTATTTAGTCCCGGAAATTATTGATCATCGTATCATAACAGTTTTATAGAAGAGAGACCGATTTGAAAAATGCGCCGCTGAATAACAATCCGAACAATCGTAAATGATGTATGGATGTGTAAATTAGAAATCTGTGAACTAATCTAAGAATGATTGCCATAAAAAATTCGTAAAGCGATGTAAGATAATGTAATAGAAAGTCAAATGACGTTTCTCATATATTAACGGTCACGTTATTATTATTATTTGAATTGCATTAGGCAAATATAAAAGATATTATAAATTTTTATTACATCGTTGACTATGCATTACGTATATATCGTGTTAAATGCACAGACAGACAGTCATAAGTGATATTCGTTTAAAAAAATGGTTATTTTTCTATTAGAAAAAAAACAAAAAAAATGCATTTTAATAAAAATCGATATGATATCGTGATCGAAAGTGATAAAGCAAAAACTAAATTTTTGCCATAAAGCAAAGCATTCCCAACATAGCGCATTGAAGGTGAAAAAATGACTGACCGACTAACTAACTGACTGACTGATGTATGCTTGTATTGGTTGGGAGATGAAAGCGATTTCGTTGTCTTTTCAAAAATCTCATGGAATCGAAAGTCTGGCCTCGCTTAGCTTAGTCTGGCTGCATTGCTGCATTCGTTGACGTTAATATTGCTCCGATAATCAGCCGGCACTCATTCGCTCAACATTATCAAATGAAATGGCAGTGCATTCCCGCCGTCGATTGCGGTACGTAACAATAACAATAAACAGTAAACCCAACCGCAGCGACAGCAAACAAGAGTAACAGTTTTTTTTTTTTTTTTTTTTCGTTTGTAATTTTATTTTTTTTTTTATTTTTTTCTTTCAGTTTATATGTCTCGCACTTTTCACTGTTGTTTTCTGTTCTATACAGAACGTTTCGATTTTCAGTCTTCACTTGGCAGACTAACTGTTCGGTAGGTTTGAAATTTTTAATTCCATGCGAATCAATTGCAATTGTCATTACAAGTCAACTAAAACGAACGAATCTCGAGGCTCGTCTAAATAACGCGTTTGAATTTCGCGCAAATTCTCTTCAACGATTTTGTGTGATTTGCTTGTATTTTGTCAGAAATAATTTAATAATTTTTGTCCAATCATTTGGATTTGGAATTGCATTAAGAGTTCGCTTACAAGAAATCATGAATTCATCGCATCGCTGGGGCTATACTCAGGAAAATGGTAAGCGAATATCAGATTTTATTTACGGTGTAATAAAGCGATCGTTTAATGAAAATTGCGAAAAACAAAAAGATAGTTTTGTTAATGCTTTTACATCTCTGAGATGATTGCAGCTTCAGTTTCCGCATTAGATTGTTTTACAAAAACATTGTTGTTGTTTTATGTTTTTTTTTTTTTTTTATTTTCTTCGCATTGAAGCACGTTCGTTTAATTGTCAGTTACACTTCACATTGTTGCTACTATTGATTTTAAAGTTCAACTGGATTTTCTAAAGTCACCTGCTTTAGCAGTTAAGGCTTTCTTCGTATTCATAGGAAATAATTAAATTTATTCGTTTATTTACTATTTACTATATTGCATTAAAATAATTTAATGCAAGTCTCGTGATCTCGTAAGATCATAATCATATTAAGCTGAGAGTCATCTGTTGCAATACCGGTTTATCAGCTTTACGTAGAAATCGTTTGCGTTTCACTTTTTGCAGTCACAAAAAAACTGTTCGAAATTCTTCGAAAGTCTTAATAATTGCTGTTTATTCTTAAGAAATCAAAAAAAAAAAAAATAAAAAAAATAAAAAAAAATAGAAATTCCATCAATTTATATTAATGGATAAATTTATACTAACTTGTATTATTTCGTATGCAATTCTCTGAACTACACTTCAGAATATCTTGATTTTTAATCAACATCAGATATAAGTACAATGCTTACACAAATAAATGAATATTTGATGACCATTACACTGAAATTTTTTTCTCGCAGAGTAATTGTCCTTCCCTTACAATACAAATATTTTTCCCATTACAAATACAATATTTTAGTTTTCTAAACATTTAAAGAACGCAAAATTTAAAAAACTTTTAGGAAAATTCTTAGGATAACATATACACGCCGCCATTATTGACGAATTCATATGATTTTTAGACAATGAGTGATGTATTACCTATGTCCGCCTTGCCCGTGATAGTTTATTTAACATCCGTAATTTGGAATAATTTTCGTGTGAAACTTAAGCAAATATACTGATCCATCATAGACGAATTTTTAAAATAAATATCTCGATAATCTACGATATTTAAATGATATAAATAATTTAGCCTGAGTAGCCTAATAGGGAAGATTCGTGACTATCAAGTCAGTATTCATCGGTTCAAATCTCAAATTCGATAGGGGGTTTGCTTTGATTTTAGCTACTAATGAGTACTTCGCCAGTTAAAGCATAACACCAACATATCCACTAAGCTGCGGACGCCGTCTAACTAATTCTCCTTTTTTTTTCTCTCTTCTTTCTAAGAATCACCATGTTACACGAACAAGGGAATCGTTCTTTGAGTGATTGGTTTATATTAAAAAAAAAAAAAATATATATATATATATATATATATATATATGTATATATATACACATAACTTTTAACTTGGCGGGAACATCTTAAAATTAAAGCTAAACTGGGTATTCAGGACTTGTCTCGCCGTTTGTTTAACTGCTTTTCGTTATCTTTGTACATACTTCAAATGTTAAGTAATATATATGTATATATATATATATTATTTATCAAATTCTTTTCCAAGGAAAACAAAATCTGTTTACTTAGAATCAAAGAGAAGAGATGAAAATAAGTTATATACGGCTTTCTTCGAATTGTCTTTACCCGAACATCTTTATCTTAAATGAATGAAATTTCGATAGTTTATAATCTAAAAATGATTTTACCCATTTCTTCCACTCTTTCGACCGCTCGTAGAATTCCGGTGGACATTATTGCCGCTGAATCGTTGAATGTTTCATTGGCAATGTCTGAAGAATATAAATTTTCTGCTTCTAAAAACAGAGATGTATTGACTTTGTCTGTTGCATTATAGGCATCCCCTTTGATCTAGTCGGCCCTTTTCACTACCAATCTGACTGCTTTTCATAATTTTCGCCAAATTTGGGTCTGATATTTTAATATTTCGGATGAAAAGAATGCTTGCAAACGACAGACAAACAGGCGAGCATGTTCAGATTGTTTCAAAATTTGAAACTAATACTGCGTAGAGTTCCTGGAACATTGGCAAGCATTTTGTCAGAGTTAATGCATGTCCCGCAAACCTATGTTGATGAATACAGAAAAAAGAAAATTTAGAAAGCCCTATATATCTCGGAAATTTTTAACACCTCTTCGGTATTTTTACATTTTCATAGTTAAGGTTTCGTAAGGATGCACGTAAGCTAAGATTCTTTCATTTCATTCTATCTTAACTATTATGAAAATCCTTGTCTCGGCCGCACATTATGGCAAAACATTAAATAATATGAGAAAAAAGTCTAAAAACAGTGATAGGATGAATAGTTATCAACAAAAACGATGGACAATTTTTATTACATAACTGAAGATGCAGATGATTAGTTTAGAGTCAAATTTTGATTGAATGAAAATTGATTTTCACTCACAGATACAGAAGAATTTGAGGTAAATTTCATTTTAACAAATACAGAGTTGTTTCCCGAATGCTTAGCGCATGCGTAGTGTAATTGAAAATCTTTAGTATTGAACTTTATTTAAGCTTTTGGAAAGTTCAATCTTTATGCAGTTGAAGACATGTTATGTCGAATTGAATAAAATATTTATTTGGACATTTTTATGATTTTAAAAATTTTTTACCAAAGGATCGGTTGCCTTTATTGCTTAACTAAGCTTTAAAAGAATTTATGCAGACAATATGAAGAGAATTAGCGAAACTAAACAAGAGAAAATGCTATAGTGGACCACGGCCCACCATTAAGTACAATGCACCATCCAACAGTCACGCATACTTTTCAAAATGACGCCGGGATGTGAGAAGGTGATCCAATCCGAAGCATTCTCAACGAAGTTCGTCGTTTGGCGAAAACACTTTAGTGCTACTAATTGTTCATCAAAATATTCCAACAATTGCGACTTGTAGGTTGAAGAAAAGAAAACAAGACGGACCGACACACAGTGATTCTGGCACGATCCATATAATGTAGATGGGGTCTAGCTAAACTCCTTCTGTTGGTGTTGCATACATCCGCACGACTTACTTTGGTAACAACCTTGTCCGACGAATGGTAAACATTTTCCTTATGAATTCGTAAAAATGTACATATCCTTCAATTAAGGTTTTGAATATTCTGGAAAACTATTGTGTGATATCGATGACTTTGTTGATGAAAAGAAGGCCAGAAAATATTTTCATTTGTTTACGAATTATTGGCATATATTCAAAATGAAAAAAAAAAAAAAAAAAAAAAAAAAACATATCTATGTATATATTACATATCTATTATATGTATACGTATAAGTTTAAATAAAAATTAGGCAGCAGAGATCAAAGTATTTTTACTCTACAATGTCAAAAGTAAACAACCAAGTAAATGCACGCATGATGAAAGAGTTTAAAGGAAATTAAATAGAATGAAAACAAAACAAAGCAAAAACCATTGCTATAGACTTTTTTTCTTTTTTTTCTTTTTATTTACTTTGCTTTAATTTATTTTAAATTAAAATTGAATTAAAACGAAAGGTTAGAAGAAAAGAAACGGTATAATAATAAAATAAAAATCTATTCGTATTTAGCACTTACCGTTAACCCATAACGTAATTATTAACATTGGGTGCACAAAGTGACATATGACGCTTTATAGGGCTTCTAACAAATGAATGAAAGTATTTAAATTTTAATTTATTTTTCTGCCTTTCTTAAGTACTTTAACAAGATGTTGCTAACGTATTTTGTCAGGCTACAGCAATATCTACCGTAAGTTGCGTATGAATGCGCAAGAATTACGAACATTGTCATCTAATATTAGTGACGACAACAACAAGATATAGGAATTTTTTTTTTCCGATTCCGAAAACTCGTTCTTTGATATATTTCATTCTGTTTATGTCCAGAGCCATGCCAGTACTGACCCTCTTACCAACTTCGTAATCATAAATTTTCGCCTTAGCTTTTTAAGGTTCAATGCAAAAATGAAAGAGAAAGAAAATTTGCAAAAAGTATCTGACACGATATGGAAATACTTCAATATAAGCGAGAATTATATAACAACATATCTAACAATAGAATTATTGGAGAGATCGAGTACGGATATCACAAAATGAATTCAGAACGTTAGCGAGAAGAAATTAACGATTGAATGGAATCATTTAGAAACAATTTGTCTACTTTGCGATTTATGATTAATCAAACTATCCATCTTTAACTTCCTTTTCTTATGCCGGTAAAATCGTTCCGTAAACAAACTAAATACAAACATTTTAATCGGGCAAGGTCGACTAATCAATACGTTGCACAACTTTATCTAGTACAATTTCTCATTCACCTATGCGATAATACACCTTGTTTGCAGGTAAAGCCCATCTGGTCACGAAAGCCCTTATGGTGAAGAGTGCCCAGAGTATAAATTGAAATGGTGTAAAATAATTTTTTTTTTTTTTCTGCAAGAGTTCATTATTCTTCACGTATTTTCGCCATAAAATGTTATAAACTAAATTTTTCTGTCATATAAGGTCTCACTATTCATAAGCGGCCCTACACATCTAAGGGACGTAAAATATTGACTTAAATATAAAATAAGGCGATCTAAGTTTACTACGGGCGCCCTATCTAATTGAAATATTTCACATCAACTTGGAATCCCGAAATAGAATTGCTGAGCGATGTTTGTCGAGAAATTTTCAGTATTGAAATTATTTTTCATTAAGAACTTTTGAAAGATAGGGCGTTATATGAGGAATGGTCGTAATAGTGGACATTCAATTGGGGTTAGTCCTTGGACCAAAATGAAATTTCCTTGTAATATTCTAGAATTTGCATGTTGCAGGGACGACAGACGGATAGATGGACAGACACATTTGAGTGTTACATGAATCCGTGTAAATTTAATATACCATTAATTGTACCACAAGTGGTGTGAAGTGTAATAAAGTCGAGCAACTCATACTGTAAAAAAAAATTTCAGTACAATGCTTATTACGTTCTTCGTGAGATATG